AGAAAAGGAATTTTTTTTTTATTTAAATTAAAAATGTTTATTTATAATGTTCAAATATTTTAATATTTTATAACAATCAATGAAGATGTTTTGGTTCTTACCTGAGTAATCATGTTGCTTGCAGATTTTGAGTTGTACTGAATGATTTTCAGCAAATCCCTCTTTAAATACCAAATCAAACAACGTTCACCTAAATAATCATAAAAATTCAAAACCACTTATTAAATTATATATTAAAATAACTTCGATTTTGTAACGGTTATCACCCTTTTATGTATATTTGGCGAGCATATGGGTCCGGTCGTTTGATAAAAAGTGATTAATAGGATCAAGATCGGCCGTGTCTGCAATCAGTCTAGATATGCATTTAAAAGTAACGCATTCTGGGAAATAATGTCAACTCTATCAACTAATTGGTTCTTTACTTGTTTAAGTATTTTGTTTGCATTTAAATGCATGTTGATTTCGGATACATATATAATATGCATACAATATTTGAACCAAATTACATCAGATATATCTGATGTAAGCTGTTAAATATTTTGTTATTGTTGGTTGTATTGTTAAAGTTGTTTTTTTTTCAATGTTTGTTTTTATATGATACATACAAACTCATCTTTTACTACTTTGTACCAATTCAAAAATTCGGCTTATGTCATATAGACCTAACCTCACTTGTATTGTATGTGCCTTAAAGATACAACGTTATATGCTAAATTAAATAAATGGTTAAAATTTCCCTAATGGGTTTAATTTTTAAATATATCTAAAAAATAATCTTTTTTTAAAAATTTCGAAATATGTTTTTATGTCATATTTTCTAAAATGATCACAGTTTATGGTTTCTTAATTTTGTTCGTCTAAAATTCATAACAAAAATTCTGATAAAATAAAATTTGGCATTTAGACCTATAACTAAAGTTAAATAAATGCACTGGTAACGTTATTTAGATAGATAACAATACGAATTATTCAAAAATGAGTAATTGTCATAGCCAAAAAGCAGCCACTAATAATTCTCGTCAAATAGCAATTTGATCCCGAACATCTAGCAGTCAATTCCTATAAAAAATTGTCCCCTGCTTCCAAAATACCGTCAAAAATTATAAAAGTTTATAATTTTTTACTTTTTTTTCGGATTTAGGGTACAATTTTATTGTCTGTTAAATGTCCGAGATAACTAACTCAATTTTATAGAGTTTATTAAAAAGATTATATTTTTGTAACATTCTTTAACATAGACTAAATTATGTTTTAGTATGCGTATACGCATACTAAAATATTATTTAGTCTATAGATAAAGGATATAAACTTTTTGTATAAGGATTTTGGTCCATTTTCTGTTTTATTCTCAGTTTCCTAGGATTTAATTTCCTTTAAATGACTATGGACATATGCTAACAGAAAATGTCGGACTGAAATCAGGTTCACTTTTTCCCTAGTATACTAGTTCTACTACTACTATAGTAGTAGTAGAACTACCCATTTGTTGTTAATAGGAAAATAATTTATTATACTGACTATTCTACTCATTACTTTATGGACCAATCACATTTCAGAAAACGAGTGGTTTTTTAAGTTTTGCAGCGATAAAACTACTATTTAGGTGACTATTTCCCTCGTCTTAATTTCCACCAATCCCAAACGCGCAATTTTGAATTACAAATGGTTTCTAGGTAAAAAAACTGTATGAAAGCACCTGTAAGCAGTTTTTCGAGTTTACCCGTTGTCATCAAAAATTGCAATTTATATTTTAATTGTTCTGTTACTCATGAAATAGTCTTGTCAAATACCATTCGGGCATCTAATTTTTCCTGTGACTATTTCCCTCGTCTTAATTTAAACCAATCACAAACGCGCAATTTTGAATTACAAATGGTTTCTAGGTGAAAAAACTGTATGACAGCACCTGTCAGCAGTTTTTTCGAGTTTACCCGCGGCAAAACTTGACAGCTGTTGTCACCAGAAATTTTAATTTATATTTTAATTGTTAACTGTACTCATGAAATAGTCTTGTCAAATACCATTCGGGCATCTAATTTTTCCTGTGAAAAAAATCGAACAAACACAATGCTAAGTAATATTTTTTAACAAAATGCATTCGTGCAGGTGCAAAAATCCTCCTCTTCGACTCGGATTTTTGTTGCCACCAACACTCATGCCTTTTGTTAAAATATTACTTAGCAACGTGTTTTTTCGATTTTTTTCGGAAAAATTAAATGCCCTTATGATATATAGCAACAAAATTGGTTGCTATGCAAAAAAATAATTGTCAATGTTAACGTTTCTAATTTTAACATAAAAATGTCAAAAAATAGGCGTTTTGGTCTAAAAAATATGCGTTTTGGTCAAAAAAATTTCGCTCGTGGCATTAATTTTAAACCACTCGCCTAGCGGCTCGTGGTCTTAAGAATTAATACCACTTACGAAGTTTACAAGAAAAAACGTTTGTATAAAAATCAAAAACTTTATCGATAACTACTAGTGGTATTATAAACAAAAAAATATTACATAGTCAAATTCCAAGTAAAAAAAAGTAAAAATTAACGAAGAATTTTATTTAATAAAATTCCTTCTTAAGTATAATAAAAAAATTGACCTACACAAATTATTATTATTATAAAAGTATAGAATGTTACATTCTTATTATAAATCATAGCGAATTCGCAATTATTAAAAAACAAAAACCATTTAATTCAGATAAAATTAATTTAAATGCACTAATTTATATTTGTTATTTATTACTATACTTTTACTATGTAACTATTTATTATCTTACTTTAAAACAACATTTTTGTACATTTAACATTTTAATTATTTTTATTTTGTAAATGATAACTTACATCCTGCTATTATTTATTATAATTATTTTAATTTTTGCTATTAAAAATTTAATGGATATTAATTAACTCTACATAAATGAGTGCAGTTGCAGTTTATATTTGACCTAAAACTATTTAAAAAAATACGTTTTCAGTTGCTTATATCAAAATAGAACAATAGTTATTTATGTCATTAGGTTAAGAAGTAAGGCTTTTTGTGCTAAGCTCAAGGTTTAAAGGTCGACGCGTTGCGGAGGCCTACAATGGAGCGAAGCACAAAAAGGCACTTCTTGGCCGAATGGCATGCAACATTTTATCTTCAAAGCACTTTATATAGGTCAATTTAATTCAACATCAAAGCGGCCTAACCTCACTTTTTTAGAATCCCATTTATTTATTAGCTAAAGATTACATTAAATGTACAATAATTATAATTATTATTGCTTTTAGAAGCAGTAATAGTTTGACAATACCTAGCAACATGATTTAAGTAGAAATGGATTTTTGCTATTACATTGAATTCAATTAATTGTTTAATAAATAGATAGGTATTTGTTTGGATTTTTATTTAAAAAATAGGTAGTTTGGAATGTTTAAGCAAATTAAAACTTAAAGATAATTTAAATCGTAAAAAAAGAATCGTGCGTTTTCTTGGTTGCCTAACCTCACTTTTTGTTTTATTATTCATATTTAGTTTTACAATAATTTAATGAAAAATATTAAACATTAACAGTAAAACAAACAAATTAGTGCTTATTATAAATAAATTAAACCAGTTTAGTACGTTAATTTCTTAGAAAAGGATTCATTTGTCAAAACTATACCCCTAGCGAGAAAAAATCGAACTAATTACTTGCCTCATAAAAATGCCTAGGCCATAACAAGGTATTTCTTTATCGAATGTTGACAACAATAAAGTTAAAATAATTTGGGTTGAGTATTATAATGTTCTAACAGCACTTTTGGCGCGAAATCGGCTTTTTTGATAGAAAAATAGTACATAAAATTTCTGTTCTATGTATATAAAAATGCCTGTTTAATTTAATACACAAACTAAAAAAAAAGCATTATTAAATTGTTCTATCGCACTTATTTAAAAACGGTTTAAAATTATAATATCCTAACAGACCAACCAATGAGAGAAGAGAATTTTGATCTGTTAGAACAATATAACCAATGAGAGAAGAGAATTTTGATCTGTTAGAACAATATAATTTTTGCTGTTTCAGTTTTGTATGCAAGTAATAATCACGTGGTTGTGCGGTGCAATTTAAAAAAAAGAATACGTAGGTATGTTCTTATTTAAGGGATACTTCTTAGAACCCTAAAGTTTTGGAATTCTTTAGAACTAAAAACTTTTAGTTTTAAAGAATTTTGTATGCTGTTAGAACAAAATCTGATGTTTTGTGTAAAATTTTCGTTTTCAATAAAAAAAAATGTTCTATCAAAAATTGTTTATTTTGTAAAACCCAGTATTAGAAGATATAAGTTCAAATAGGGACAATACATTTTTTAATTCTTAAGGATATGAGTCCAAAACCAGTACTTAAAATTATAAAAATCTTTACAAACGGTATTAGAATGAGCCTGGAATATTTAATCGCCATTCCCCAACAATTTCATTTTGGATTTATAGAACAATATAATACTCAACCCACGAATTATAGACCGCGTAGAGATAAAGTAATATTATACAATAATTAAAGTTGCTTTTTATACCAGCTACCAGCAGCTTGCTTGTTTATTTTGATTTCATAACAGGGGTTTTTTTATTTACCTATATACATATACAGCTTTGTTTTTTTACATTAAAATGTTCTAATTTTTTCTTAAAATTTTTAACACTGTTTGATTAGGAAAATGAATTATTTCTGCTTAATACTGTCCAGATTTTTTAAACATAAATACGTAATTACTCAATTTTTTTTTGAGCACCATAAAACTCTCAAGTAATTTTATTTAAAACCTATTTTTAACTTTTGAAATAAAAGTAGAAAATACAAAAGAAACATTTATTGCTTATTGAACTAGCTATATACAACAAATAGCCTCAAAAGTAGAGACCAAAAAACGATAATGCGATAATGATAAGATGAGGGATGAGCGACGTAATTCTATGCACATGGATGAGAGCGAGGATATGGCAGCAATGGTAACAATCACAATCAATCATTTGTTTCAGTAGCTTCCATGACCACCCAGACCGTGTCCTCCAAGAGCAATTCCATGAGTGGCTACGGGTATGACTTTGGAGATGATTTGCGGATGCGAAGCGTGGCCGATTCTCGATACCACTGCGTTGAAACCGTTGTGGGGGTCAGCTGTGTATTTTACCACTCTGATGGTGCCATCAGGTTCCTTCAGTGAGTATTGGCCTTTGACTGTGTCACCTACACGGACTTCGGATTGCTCTTTTTCGTCGCCAGTGTGGCCATCAGCTACTCCGTATTTGAATTCGTATTTTGCTGGGGTCTGTAATAATATTAATTAGTTAGTTAGGTTAGAGATGCGACTTGAAAAAAAACGGTCCGTTTTTTTTGTTTTTTTTTCAGGTTTTTTTCACATTTTAGTTTTTTTTCAATATTAGTCCCATTTGCCTAATTTTTTGTTTCCAGTCCAGTTCATGGACTAAAATTAGTCACTAAATGACAATTAGTAAATGTAAATACAGTCTCGCGCTATGCACGCGTCACCACCACCGAATTGACCAATAAGGGCCGCACTTGATTTTTCAAAAAGCTACCAAAAGCACTTTTTTCATGATTTTCCAAATTCATTTAGAGTATGGATTTTTTTTAAAACAACAGCAAATTCTTGTAGAACATGTATTCATTGGTGGTTAAGTCAGAACATTTCGTGGACCAGAAAGCCAAAAAAAATTCGATTTTTTTATTACGGTATTCGTTAGGATTGAGCGTTGCACGTTTTTCATCTAAAATTCTCAAAACTAGAAACTCCAAGCTTCATATTGCTTTTTTTACGACCATTTTTAACAAAGATCTGAAGAATCGCAAAACATTTTTTTATCCTTTAATTTTTTCTATAAGTATAGAAGTTTTACATTGCTATTGGTTTCTAATGTGGAAACTACCAAATAATAAGAAATCAGATCTCGGTCAAAATTTTCAATAATGAAAAATGTAATATATTCTACATTTCACTTTATTATTAATATACATTTTACTTAAAATTTCAATTTGAAAAAAAACAAAAAAAAAACGTTTTTTTCTAGGTTTTTTTTTCATGTTTATTTTCACATCTGAAAAAAAAAACCGTTTTTTTACATCTCTGAGTTTACGTAGCTAGTTAGTAATTTATTTAATCCAAAACAACGAAAATTGTCTGGATCTCGTCAGAACGTGCCAAATAAAATAAATACATTTAAAATGATTATCAAAGAACTATACAGGGTACACCCAGAGCTGTGCGGTACTCGAGGACTTGTACTCAAATTTTGTACTTTAAGTACTTTTTATGTACTCGGAACTCAGTCCAGAGTACATTTTAAAAAAAGTACTTGAATTTGTGCTTATTTAATTTAAAAATGTAAAAATGGACACGAGTACATTGGTTGTACTCGAGTACATTTTTTATACTCGAATACATTTTTTGAACTCGAGTACATTTGATTTCCTCGATTACTTTTTTTGTACTCTAGTACATTTAATTTACTGGAGTACTTTTGTTGTACTCGAGTACTTTTTGTCTTCGGCATCTTTGTGTTAGGTTAACATAACCACTACTATAGTGGCACTACATATTCAAATTTATCGCCATAATTATAATGCTTTAGCAGCTAAAGTTTAACGGTTCGGCAATATTCGGAATAAATCCTCGATAATATCCCAAGTTGGTAAAATATCATTGTGGTGCCCTACTTTATAGAGATATTACATATTACAAGAGGTAGTGCCCTTTTTTATCTCTGGTAGTGCCGTCATAATGTCATATGTAACTTTTTTTTAAGAAACTTTAAATTATTTTGCAATACAGAATCTGCATTAGTATTATTTTAAGTGTTTTGGTTTTTGTTATAGTGGGGTAAGTAAGATTTTAAATATTATTTTGTATTTGATTACCTACTCGATTAAGTTTTTATTATATTTGGTACGCTTAAAAAATTAGGTTATATTTTTGCATTCAATCTTGTTTTTTTTGGCAGTCATAAATGCATGTTAATTTAATTTAATTTCGTACTTGTCGTTAAATAATGTTTAGGCTATTTATTAAATAAAATATAATAAATAACTTGCATGAATAGGTATACTTATAGGTAATAAAGGTTATATTTAAAAGAATAGTGAATCTATTTTAATAATATTTTTTTATGTTTAAAATCGAAATAGATGGTTATTTAAAAAAATATATTGAAATCATAAATAAATATGTGTATTAAAGAAATATAAAAATGCAGTTTTTTTAAAATATCAATAAGTAACCTAAACCTGATATTTTATTTTGTTTAACTTTTAACAACTTTTTTTGCTAGATACTAAAACCTAAATTACATTTTAAGAGTTTTTGGAAAAAGTACTTTATACTTGGTACAGTACTCGTGAATACTTTTGGATTTTTGTATTTTGTACTTTGTACTCAAGTACATTTTTTTCAAAGTACTTGTACTTTTACTCGAGTACTTTTTTCTTGTACTCGGAACAGCTCTGGGTACACCCAGTATACTTTTTTTTATTAAAATGGCATTTGAAAAAAGATATTATTCATCTACATAAGTATAAAAGAAGCAGGTATGCGCACAGTGTATTAAGTAATATCAAGCAAACTTTTGAACTTATTGAAAATCGGTTAGTAGGTACATTGTTATCATTGATTACTGACAGTTTGGTTGTTATTGTGGTTTCTCTGGGGCTACATGAACAGTTTAGTATACCAGAGCAAAGTTGACAGAACTACTCCGCGAACTTGTTAATTAAATTTAATACTATTATTATTATTAATTAGTAAAAAACTTCTTACATAATAGTCCACAACTTGTTGTTTGGCAATGGCGACAGGAGCTAAAGCAATTCCATGTCCATGTCCTCCCAATCCTAGGCTTATACCACCTGATGCATAAGAAACACCCCCAGCCCTGACGGTGACAAACAAAACGGCCAACCCTATTAACTATAAAACATTTTTTAACATTTGCGGCTGGTCATGGAAAAAGGATCTTTGGGTCAAAATTAAGATTTTGCCATTTTCTGTTTAACAGAACGTTTTCTTCCAAAAATAATATTTTTAAAAGTTTAGGTTTTAATTAAAAAAAAAATTTAATCAAGCAAATTGCAATAATAATTTATTTAAAACAAAACCAAAAATCAATACTGTTCAAGTATTTTTACCGCAACGCTAAACTACGAACACATTACAATTATAAATAAATTTAAATTATTTAATTAATATTTCAAAACTTGTAATTATAAATTATTTATTATATTCCATAATGTCAATGTTTTAGCGAAATTAGGACAGCAATTATTTGCAGAATAAAACTAAATGTAATTTAAAAAATATTTTTTTTTAGCAAATTTATAATCAACAAAAAATTTAATTTAATTTTTTCCAAAATTTACTTACTTGTCTTATCATTGTGGTGCCTTTGTTGGACCCGCTGCCACTAAGGAACCACCAGATCCTTTGGACTTATATACATCTAGTTACGTTCACTTCTATATAATTATAAAAATAGCTTCTGGTAGGCTATTACGCTATTAATTGAAGAAAATGCCGATATTGTGCGAAAGTGCATTTTGTCAATTGTAGCATGTCGGTCAAATTGTTAAAATTTGGAGCGGTTGTATAGTATCCATTGAAGCAACTTTGCGTCGTTATAAATTGACTATAGATGTCTAAATTATGTATAAATTTCCAAATACCTTTTTTTGTTCATATTATTCCAGTTTTTAGAGATGTATTTTTATTGTATATTTACAAATTATATTGTCATTAGAAAATGTTTGTCTATTTGTTTATACTGGGTCATCAAATAACTTGTCATCCTTTAAGAGGAAGATAGTACACGATAAAATAAAATCATTTTTACATTAGTGCCATTTTTTTGTAATAAAAAAATCATTACATTTTTTATAAGTAAAGTAGAAATTTTGTGCCGCCACTGGTTGTTCCTGACCCATGACAACTGATGCAAAATATCCTTGCACAGTGCTGCCATATTTTGGTAGAACATAGTAACTAAAGTTACTGGGTTTTAAAAAATTACTGCATTTTTGGATTTAGCATTCAAATTTACCTCTAGTAACTATTTTTTATCTCTTTTAATATTAAGGTTGCTGTAAAATGTCTATCTCTATTTTTAATAACTTCTAAAAACTGTTAGGTAACCTAAAGCAAAATATGGCAAATAAAGTTACTGACAAAAATATTTCATTTTTTTTTTAAATTTAACCCAGTAAAAGCAAGTAAATCAAGTTGCTAGGTTTAACGCAAAGTATTTTCTAATGGTAATAATATAGCTGCTGCTGTTGGCGGGAGTATTTTAAAGTTATTAAATAATTAATATTAAGCTTTATGTATATATTTCAGCATTGATTAAAATCTGGCAACTTGAATGTTGATGTTTTAATGAGTTAATTTGTGAATATTTTAATCAACGTAGAACTTTTTATATTACTATTTGCTGAATTATGATTTACGTAATTTGCACACTTCCGAATAAATAAATAAAAATCTGTTTTTAATAAATCGGACTTTACCAGACTAGTTTTACGTTTGGAATAGTGTGTGTAACTTGTAATAACGGTGTTTTTTTATTAAGAAAGTTCAAAATATGTCCAGAAGAACAAATTTAAAGTTAAACTACCAGTAGCACCGTATTTGGAACCATTGTGGTTAAAAACTAAAAAGAAAGGAACAATGTTAAAGACTCCTTGTTCCTTATTTAGAGATTAAAGAAAAAAAAAATTCTGGATTTACTAACCACAAAATCCAAATGCTCAATTTTACTTAATATACTTAATATATTTTATAAAATGGATTTTTTAAACTGCATTTTCACTAAATAAAATAATAAAAAACCTAAATAATTATTTATTTTAAGATATAGTCGATTTACTATATTTTACTCAATCATATTAAAAACATTTAAAAAATACAGTAACTAGCAATTGTTATGGCCAGCTTTTGCATAATTACTTATATAAATAAATTAACAAAATATAGTAACTCATATTTGTAAAGAAATTACTTATTTATTTGATAATTTTTTAATTTTTTTAAATTCTTCTTTAAAAATTATGTAGGAATTGATCATTAGATATTTTAAATATTTTGTTGCAAAGAAAGGCTACCGTAAATACGGGTGACTTTGCACCCCGCGGGTGACTTTAACCCATTTATGAAAAATCTTTTCGCGCTCGATAAAATTAACATTTATAATTTGTTGGTCTAAACCTGTCAATTGAGCGATTCTATTGAGTTTATATTACAGGAAAATCAGTATTTTAAAGAAAGAAATGGGATTTAAAACACTTTAAAATTGTAAATATCGTATCAGTGCAAAACTCTTAGAAATACACGCGTTACAATTTCTATATTATGCGCAATCCATTGGAATGATTATCCTTGGTTAACTACAGGTCGATTTTTTATTTTTTTTATTGGTAATCCCTTGCAATAGATATATGTCGCTGCTAACACGTGTCTAATAAAAATAAAATATAATATTACATTCATTTTGTACTGAAAAAACACTGTGAGACAAAGTAACCCGCAACCAGGGGGTAACTTTGCACACCCAGTTTTTAATGTTTATTTTTGAAACTCAGCTCTATGTAATATTATAACATAGTTATTATGAAAGATCAACTCAAGACTCAAATTTTGGTATACAAAATTTAATGTTTATGACTGTTAAAACCACAAAAATTTTAAGCTGAAGTTTGAAAGTGAGCCAAAGCCACCCGTGTTTACGGTATGCAATTTTAAAAAATACGCTGTCCTGAAAAGTTACAAAATCATAGTTACTAGGTTTTGCTAAAGTATCATTAATTACTTCGTTGATAATTGTTTTTTTGTTTTGCATACTCAGCTATTTCAGGTACTTGAATAAAACAATACTTACTTTTTATCGTTAGGTATCTCAAGGTTTCCGTGGTTTTCCCGTCAATTTTAAATTTCACTTTTTACGTCGATTGATGCTCATGTAACTAACTATTTTTTTAAGTGTCCCACATAATCATAATAAACGTTCAACTATCCCGCCGTTATTATCCACGCAAAGTTGTCAGCGGCGTAGAAAATTATGATGTGTCGCTCTTGCTATCATATCCAGATGATTTCGGATTTCATCTGCCGCTGCAGTGACAAGTTCGCGGAGTTGTTCTAATGTGTCAACTTCGCTCTTTTACAATAAACTGAAATTTTTTTTATTTTTTTAAGGCCTGCCAAAATCTGCTAAATGAGTCGAAATTTAAAGCTTAATACCCACCTCCAATTAGATAAATTAACCACAAATAAATGTATTATCAATAAATTGTATGTATAATCGTATATCCCAATTATTTTCAATTCAAACATTGTGAAGGTGTCGAAATCCAAGTTGCAGTTTCTGAAGAAAACGCTTTTTTCAGTTGGATATTTAATTATTTAACTTATTTATCAGTAAAATTTCGCAATTAGTGCGCCCAGTTCTCGAACGAGCTGCGATTTAGCAATTTTTCTTTGTCGGTTATGGGAAATTACGGGGGCAGTGAATTTTAATTTTAGTCCAGAGCAGTATAAAACCAGCGCATTCAATAAATGTTTTCATTCTACTGCTGTATACATTTCGGTCGATACGTTGATTTTACAGTGAAGGGAGCTCGGCAGTAAATCTTGTTTATTTAAGCTATATTTTCTACTTTGTCTATTTTAGATTTTGGCTAAAATTTAACAGTAAATTATTACAAATAAAAGTAGGATTTTTTCACTTTGTAAAAGATATAAATTAAATTAAGAGTTAATTTAAAAGGATGGTTGAAAGTTAATAATTGACACGTATTTTATTAACCTTATGTTATTGACTACTTGTACTTGTTTTTGTCCATTTTTTTATTTCAACATTATAAACCAATTTTATAATAGTTTTTAAAAAAATAGTTTCAATTAATAAAAAATTAACTAACCATATAAATTTGTACGTAACTTTCCAAAATAAATCTAAAACTACTTTATTTAATATTTATTATGAGTAGTGTGTAAAAATGTAACTCACTTACTTGTCCGTTATGTAAGTTAATTGTTTCTTAGCGGTTAAATAAATCATATCTGCAGATATAAACAGTAAGATAGGCACATAACATGCATTTTCTATTCTAGACACTCACTACCTTTTAATTGCAAAAGTTTGGCTCAGTACGTATATTAAAAGCAAGTAAGCAAGAACTATAATAGTATTACATATTAGTCGTTAATTATGTTGTAGGATACAAAATAAAATGATTTCATTAAAAATTAAAATCCCATAATTTAAAAATTATCAGTTTAAAAATTATGTCTTTTTACATGGAAAGTTTTTTGTATCTTACTTAAAACTACTTTTGTTTGTTTTCAATTCTTCTAAAAAAACATAACAAGGAAAATATCAAAGCAAACTTAGCTGCAACATAAACTGCCACCCACCACATCTTTAGTCATGTGATATAAAACCACCAATTAGAGCAAGCCCAAGCACTTATCCCTGATAGCACACTTTATTCTGAGAATGTTTTTTAAACCTTCCAGTGAGAATATTCTTAGGATAATGCTATATTTCTTCTAAAGAACATGCTTAAAAAACATATAGCATGATCCTAAGAATATTCTTACTGGCCTATAGGCAGGTTCTTAGAAGGTGCAAAGTTTTAGTGGTAAAAATTAGTCTACTCAAACATATGATTAGAATGTTAAGAAAGTAATTTGTATAGAAAGTTCATTTAGGAATATCCCTGTTAAGCATATTTAGTTCAGTTACCTATATAATAGTAAAAAATATACCATAAACTACGTATAAAGGTATATACCTATACTTAAGTACCTAATTAGTAATTAGTATTAAATACTAAGTAAAAAACACAATCCAAAATATTTTTTTATAGTTATTTGTCAAATTAAAACAATATTCGATAACAAAAATACTTTTACTATAGGTATTTTATTTTAGGTTAAAATTAAATTAAATTTATTAATTTGTATACCGATTTTTATTTCTGAATTAACATTTTTATGTATAATAATCCTATCTTCAACTTCAATCTAATCTGACTTATCCCACAACATTTTCCAATTTTACTTTTTATGAAATATTGTCATACCACTTATGGTTTAGAGGTCAAATTGTTTATTTAATATTTTTAAATAAATATATAAAAATATGTCGCAAATTTTTTTTAAGGGGACGACAAATACATTTCACTGTCATATTATGATAGTGAGGCGTATTTGTCGTCTCCTGAAAAATTTTACGAATGTAGAATACAACATATTAGAACGTGGGTATCTGACATATTTGAAAATATTCTCAAAAGCTTCCTAGAAGCTCCATTAGAAACCTTCTAAGAACATTCCAAAAACGTATTCTTAAAATGTTCTTAGGATGCTTTTTATGAAGGTTTTAAGAATCTTTAAAGAATCTAATTGCATCATTAAAAGGGTATCTATAGAATGTCCCTAAGAACATTCTGAGCAATAGGGGAAGGTTCTAAGAATATTTCATTATTCCGGGTCATATCTTTTTAGAAGATTCTTAAAATTAAATTTTGTTATCAGGGATTTCGCTGTAAAACTATAGTAAAAGTACACTTACAATAGGTATAAAGCTAAATACTAGATTGGTACAAATTATTTTTACATTTTAGTCGATAATAAATTCCAGATAAAAGATAAAAAAAAATCATAAATGCTAAAAGATTTATTAAAATAAATAAGTTCATACAATTTATTAAATTTTGTAAATCTTAATTTTCATAACCATAAGGAGATCCGCCATATAAAACCTTCTGATAAACCGGCAACACCGGCTTGTCATAAATAGGCACGGCAACCTTTTCTACAACCGGATGCACAGGGTGTCCAGTTTTTTCTACAACTGCGTTGAAACCGTTGTGGTCGTCAGCGGTGTAGTGGACGGTTCTGAGGGTACCATCAGGATCGGCAACAGTGTAATAACCTTTGACAACATCGCCATCACGTTCTTCGTGTTGGGATTTGTGGTCACCGGTGTGAGGGTCGTTTACTCCATAACTGAACTCGTATTTTGGATAAGCCTGAAAAGTGTTATTACAAGTTAAAAAAAAGTTTTTATTAATTTAAAAAAATTAAAAAAAACTTTGATTCTTACGTAATGATCACCATGTCCTTCATATATTGGTTCATATGCTTTTTGTACATATCCATAACCAAGACCTGGGGCACCATCATAAATATTTCCATAAGCATTTCCTGGATAAATTCCTGCTTGGGATGCAGCAATAAGACAGAAAGTCAAAATAATCTGTAATAATAAATAAAATAAAATATTTTCTTACTTCCAATTTTGCACAATTTCAGTTTAGTTTATAACGTCAATATTATTTTTTTTCGATTTTACTGAATTTTTTTTAGCAAAAACTAAGAATTTTTTTTCTGATAGACACATACCGAAAAGTACATTTTTTCCGGTTTTATTATCCCAAAACACAAACTGTTAAGATGAGATGTTGTGTTAGTACTGATTTAAAAATCGAAACAAATCATATTTATAACTCGATTGTAAACCACGGAATAAAGCAAATATTCGTTTTTTGTCTTAACCAAATCCATTGTCATGTTCGTGTTGCACAATAAATTCGATCGGAACGCAATTGACAAATTTAATATTGACCTAAATAGGTTCTGTAAGTATTTGTGTAATATTTATCGGAAAAATATTTTCACGGTTAATAATTAACTTAAATGCTAAAATCTCTGTATGCAAGTAAATGTTTTAATTATCATGGTTAATGTATTAAAAATTCGTTTGCAATAAGTAGGTATTATGGTAATATTGGTTTACTTATTAACAAAGTTTATACATATAAATTTCACAAGATCAAAATCAAGATTTTTGCAGCTTTTAGTTGCAAGTTTAAAAAACCTCATTAAATAAAAAAATATAAATTTATTTATAACAAAAACATTTATTGATGAACCTAAGGAAGGGAAGCAAAATATTACTTTTATGTATAAAAATGTTTTTTTTTTATTAAATATTATAATGTTCCATTTAAAATTATTGCGAAGTAAATTATGTATATTTAATTAGCATATTAAAAAAATTGCACATTACATAATTAATTGACTACGAAAATCACGTGTGTGATAAGTAATTTAAATAAAAATGACCTACCCACAAGCAATTTAATACGAATCTAAGGTCATTTACATTTTATTTCCTATTTATTTTTGGATTTTTACAGATTATTTAAATTATATATATTACATCAAGTATTTCATTAACATTTCGGGAATAATTATAATTTTATGATAGGCACTAATTTACAAGATTTAACAAGGTATATTCTCATAAACATTAAAATGTTATGAAAATTTAGTGTATGGGTCTTAAAGATTCACATGGGGATTGCAAAATTACCTAATAGTTATTAAGGTTAATAATCGGAAAATATTGCAATGATATTGATGAGAATATTGTTTGAATGGAATTGGTAACACGTAGGTATATAAAAAACATCATCTTGGAGATAATTGTATTGTTTCTTCAAACCTTAAACAGAAATCATGATCCAACAGGTGTGTACAAAAACATTACATGGTTCTATAAAATAGGGTGTTATTTTTTAGGTGCTATTTTTCCTATTTTCATCTTTTATCCATGTTTATGCTGGATACCAACAAAATTACAATAATTTCAATAATTACTACAATGGAGGATATGGTGGTAGTGCAGTTTCCAGTGCTTATGTTACACAGTATACACCATCTTACTCAAATTACCCTCTTAGATTTAATGGACATAATCATGAAGCTCCGACATATCAAAATACTCATGTAGAGCACCATCAGGTTGCTCTTGGATATCAACCTGGATACCAATCATACCCACCTAATTATCAATCGGCATATCCACAGATTAACCATGGATATGGTAACCAAGAATTTCATGGATATAATCCTGGTCATAAAAATTATCATTATCCTGTAAGTATTTTTTATTTGTTTTCCAACAATAGAATATTTATAAATAATTAACTAGAGATTTGCAAATTAAAAGTATTATTTAGTATGTTTGGATTGTATAATAATACAAAAATTGGGGCGTTTTACCAATTAAAAACAAAAAAGTTTAAAAGACCGTCATAAAAACGCATCACAGTTTTTTAAGAGAAAAAAATGTCATCAAGACTAAAGATTATGATAATAAAAAAAATAAATTGCATAATTACAGGACACTCCAGCCAAATATCAATTTAAATACGGGGTTGAAGACCCTCTAACTGGCGACAAAAAAGCCCATCACGAAGTAAGGGATGGTGATGTAGTGAAAGGATCATATTCTCTAGTTGAAGCTGATGGCTCCGTAAGAACCGTGGAATATACTGCCCATCCTCATCATGGTTTTAGTGCTGTCGTACATAAATCTGGGCAAGAATCTGTTGCATTTGGAAAACATCACTATTAAAATGAAATACAATGTTTAAATAAAATTCTTGAGAATTTGTCGATAAAAATGTAATTTATTTATCCAGAAATAAAATATTTTATAAAGTTAATTAAGTTTATTTTTATTTTTATGTGCCTATGCCATAATAATTATTATAATCACTCACTTGAGTGTAGAGCGTTGACGACAATAAAGTTTAATTTATAGACCGTTTGAAGGAAAAATATATATTTAATAGAAACCAGTATAAGTATATGTGCTTTCCCTTTAATGGTCGAATGTTACAGTTTCATTGGTATGCAAGGATTTTTCAGGTCAATGTCAAGAAAAAGAACTGGCGTTAACTGAGTGGCATAAATTCGTTCTGAATATACTTTCAATTTCATTTGAGCATATCGTCGTTGGGAAAATCTTAAAAATTGAATTTTGTTTAAAGAAATTTAAATGAAATTAATTTCTAAAAAATATTAAAATTTTTATGTATTATTTACCACCTTTTTGCATAATATGAACATGTTAGTTAACACAGGTCTTTATTAATCAACAAAGACCGAATTTTAGGCCCTGAAAAATTGGAAATTAGGACACATAAATAGGCAATAAAAACGTACATTTTAGACCGTTTTAGGCCGAAAGTGACTAAAATAGGCCTCGACCGCCTAAAATAGGCGATATGAAATAAAAACAACACGATTAAACATAACATAACATATGTATATATACTATAGGCGATATGAAATAAAAACAACACGATTAAACATAACATAACATATGTATATATAGTATATATACATATGTTATGTTATGTTTAATCGTGTTGTTTTTATTTCATATCGCCTATTTTAGGCGGTCGAGGCCTATTTTAGTCACTTTCGGCCTAAAACGGTCTAAAATGTACGTTTTTATTGCCTATTTATGTGTCCTAATTTCCAATTTTTCAGGGCCTAAAATTATATACAAACAAATACAAACGGTTTTCAAAGTTGGCTTTAGCCATCATCTATTGTCTTTATAGAAAAACTATTTAACACCGGTAAATTGTGGAGAGTTATTTAATAAATGGCGACTAATTATATTGCTAAAAACTGTTAAAAAGTTAAAATTATATATATATATATATATATATATATATATGTATCCAATACATAATATATTTTATGCACGATGTCATTATAATATGACAATTATAACAAAAATTCTTTGACGTAAACGTCTTTTTATAGCCCGCGGGCGTTATTATGGCCCAGCGGGCTATAATGAAACGTCAAAAATTAAAAACTACAATGTTACACCATTTGATATATTCGAAGTAAGTTTTTTCGTATAAAGATTTTGATTTTTCCGGCAGCAGGCCGCAATTTTTCGCCTTTTCAGCTGCTTCCTCAATTTCATTCATCTTTAAACTTTAAAACTGACTGATGTCAGTTCACATTATAATATGACAATTATAACAAAAGTTCTTTGACGTAATAGTTATTTATGTATTAAGGGCATAATAAGGTTTTTATGGTCCGAGGCGCTATTTCGAGCCCGAGCGCGTTAGCGCGAGGGCTAGAAAAGCGTCGTAGGACCATAAAAACCAGTTATGCCAGCAATGCATACAAAACTTTATGCACGATTAATATATTATTATTTTTAATATATTATTGTTTTTAAAGACGTTTACGTCAAAGAATTTTTGTTATAATTGTCATATTATAATTTCAACTGACATCATTCAGTTTTAAAGTTTAAAGATGAATGAAATTGAGGAAGCAGCTGAAAAGGCGAAAAATTGCGGCCTGCTGCAGGAAAAATCAAAATCTTTATACGAAAAAACTTACTTCGAATATATCAAATGGTGTAACATTGTTGTTTTTAATTTTTGACGTTTCATTATAGCCCGCTGGGTCATAATAACGCCCGCGGGCTATAAAAAGACGTTTACGTCAAAAAAATTTTGTTATAATTGTCATATTATAATGTCATCGTGCATAAACGTCTTTAAAAACAATAATATATTAAAAATAATAATATATTAATCGTGCATAAAGTTTTGTATGCATTGCTGGCATAACTGGTTTTTATGGTCCTACGACGCTTTTTTAGCCCTCGCGCTAACGCGCTCGGGCTCGAAATAGCGCCTCGGACCATAAAAACCTTATTATGCCCTTAATACATAAATAACTATTATGCACGATGACATTATAATATGACAATTATAACAAAAATTCTTTGACGTAAACGTCTTTTTATAGCCCGCGGGCTTTATTATGACCCAGCGGGCTATAATGAAACGTCAAAAATTAAAAACAACAATGTTACACAATTTGATATATTCGAAGTAAGTTTTTTCGTATAAAGATTTTGATTTTTCTTTAAACTTTAAAACTGACTGATGTCAGTTGACATTTTAATATGACACTTATAACAAAAATTCTTTGACGAAAACGTCTTTAAAAACAATAATATATTAAAAAATTTTAATAAAAATAATAATATATTAATCGTGCATAAAGTTTTGTATGCATTGCTGGCATAACTGGTTTTTATGGTCTTACGACGCCTCGGACCATAAAGACCTTATTATGCTCTTAATACATAAATAACTATTATGCACGATGACATTATAATATGACAATTATAACAAAAATTCTTTGACGTAAACGTCTTTTTATAGCCCGCGGGCTTTATTATGACCCAGCGGGCTATAATGAAACGTCAAAAATTAAAAACAATAGGCGCAAAACTATGAGCTTATTTTATTTTAAATTTATATTAACAATTCAGTTATTACAATTTTTCGCCTTTTCAGCTGCTTCCTCAATTTCATTCATCTTTAAACTTTAAAACTGACTGATGTCAATAATATTTATGCACGATGACATTATAATATGACAATTAAAACAAAAATTCTTTGACGTAAATGTCTTAAAAAACAATAATATATTAAAAATAATAATATATTAATCGTGCATAAAGTTTTGTATGCAATGCATACTATGCATTGCTGGCATAACTGGTTTTTATGCCCTTAATACATAATTATCTAATATGGATACTACAGTAAAACCTATGAAAACAAAGTAAATAATTATTTTACAAACTTAATGTTGTCCATAATTATTTATAACAAATATTTAGATAGCAAAAACACAATAATTGTAATTATTACTTTTTTTTATTAGGTTTTCACTAGTTTTGTAATTCGTGGCCTCGTACTCGCCAAGGGCGTCTAGGCGAAATAAGAGCATGAAAGCAGAACCTAATTAAAAATAATTTACTTTTCCGCAATGAAAAATATATTTTTTACTGAAAAATTAAAAGAGATTTTAGGCTCATAAAAATGTCCTTTTAGTACAATAAATAAAAATTTCGCAATTTCAGGCTTTTAGGCAAAAACAAAGGGGTGTCAAACACTTTATTTTTTTAAGTTTAGGATTAATTTCAAGGTCCCAAACAAATGCCTGAAATAGAAACAAAAAGGCATTTTGCCTAAAATCCGGTCCTTGTTCATCGACCACTTTCGTGTAATATTAAATAAAACCCTAGCATTTTTCATAAATACTTGTATTGAATTATTTAAAGACTAGTACATTTATACACTAAAAAAAAACTTAATGGTGGTACACTGGAGCTTCAACGTTTTTTTGGTAGACCTGTGGGTAGACAGGTTCTCCTTTTCTTTCTACGACTGCGTTAAAACCGTTGTGGTCATCGGCGGTGTAGTGGACGGTTCTGAGGGTACCATCAGGGTCGGCAACAGTGTAATAACCTTTGACAACATCGCCATCACGTTCTTCGTGTTGGGATTTGTGGTCACCGGTGTGGCCATCTTGTACTCCGTAGTTGTATTCGTATTTTGGATGGGCCTTAAATTGTAAAATTAATTAATTTAAAATGAACATAGTTTCAAGGTTTTTGATATTTTTAGGTAATTAATTAAGCCTTTTGTAACTTACATAATAGTCCACAGATTTTTCAGCATGTCCATGAGATACAGCAGGAAGTTCGAAAACTCCAGCCATGGCTACAGCTATGAGGCCGGATAAAATAATTACCTAAATAAAAAAACAATTATTTAATAAGTAGGTACATAAAATTATATTTTCAGTTACCTTAGTAAACATGTTATTTTTTTTGGGTTGTTGTTTATTCTTTAAAGTCCAAGAATGATATAATTTGATTTATTTGGCAGAACCATTTTATATACCAGTTGCATATGCGTGACCGACGAAAGTGGGTTATTAATTAATTATTAAGGAATTGGTCACAAAATTTTAGCAATCGTTCATGATGCTGTCAATTTTTCAATAGGCGATTTATTGAGTAATTCATCTAGAATGCTTACAAATTAATTAACACAAAAAGCGTATTAATCAGATTATGATCTAAGTTTTTTGTCGAACAAGTTGCGGTAATCTATGAATGGACCTGTTAAGTGCATTTTTAATTAAACAGTATTGCGGCATTTTTATTGTTTTTTATGTCAATTAAGGAGTGATATACCAGTACAAAGGTTTCCCAAAATAGACCGCTTATTAAGCGGCGCTTAAAAATAATAGTTATTTATGCAATATCATGAGACTGAGAAGTAAGAATTTTTGCGATGAGCGAAGCACAAAAAGACACTTATCGGCATACATTTTATCTTCAAGCTTGACTTGTTAAACGATATATAAAACGTACTTTCAATTATAATAACAATTCTTAATTATAGATTATTATCTCACATGTTCAGCATAATTGTTTCAAACAAACAAAAATATTTCATCTTACATAATTCGTACTTATCACAGTGGGAAGTAAAGTAGCAAATATGTAACAGGTTAAATAAACATTTAAAATTTAACGCAATTGTAACCTACATTTTTACATAGAAGAAACACTATAAACTTATTGGATAATACAATTCCTGCAAGGTCGTTTTTTGAAGTATAATTTTGTTTCAAATTTCAACGCCATAAATATATTTTAATTTTATTTTTCTATTCACACCTTTAAAACGCCCATTATCGTACATGTTTCCATGACCTTTTAAATACACATTGACAAGTTGTGGCTTTATGACGCTTTAGTCACAGTCTGAAGTTAGCAACAGGTTTTTAGTCACTGCTGAAGTTAGTTTTAAGTTTGTTGACAGTTGTCAAATGTACAATCATTAAAATAAAGTGGCTTTATTGTAGATATGATACTTAATGTGAAATAGTTATTTGTTTTACAAGTGTTGAAAAGCGACTTTTTCATGCGAGTGTTTTAGTTGCTCACAAGGCCGTTAGGCCGAGTGTGCATTAACACGAGCTTGAAGAAAGCTTTTCTCACAAGAGAAACACAATGTTTCTTCTACGACCCTTTTATTTTTTATTATTTTCAAATACAAAAAAAATAACTTAAAAAGTGTTTGACAGATCTGTCATTTTTCACACAGACCTGTCACTTTTCACACAGAAATATCACTTTACATTCGTGTTTTGCCTTGCCAATAAAAAGATTAATTTTCTAAGCAACGATGCCATTACGAAATGTGACTTTTACATAGTGGTCGTAGAAAAATAATTTTAATATCTCAATATAAAAATACAAAAGTATTAGGATAACATATTTTTCTTAACATAATCATATTTTTAAGTTATTTTAATATTTTAAAGTATCAATAATTGTTAAGTTTAATTAAAATAATAACGGGCAATGTTAATGGTGAAAATTACGTCAAAAAAGTTTATTGGGATTGTTACTTTATTTTCTTACAGATGTCGCTTTATACAAATATTTAATTTAATTCATTTTTTATATAAAATTAAGTATTTGTCGTAGACAAAGTATAGTATGCAAGTATAGTATGCAACTCGTTTATAAAGTTTTCTAGGCACTTATTAAATTCGTGACTAAAATCAAACTTGATACATAATATACTATTATTTAAAACTAAATTTCTAGATATAGTTTATTTTAAATATTAACTATGGTTTCGGGTAAAAATCGAACAAATATTGGACATTTGTTTGCAAGTGATGCCAGAATTGAATATATTTTTTTAATCTTGTTTCTAAATCTAAATGGAGCATTTTTTTCAAAAAAAATTTCATCCACTGACCGCTGTGGTTTTCAGGCCTTAAATCACTCTACTGTGCTAAAAATAAATAAATTTCAAAATTTTGTAATAACATTTTTATTTAAAAACGTATCAATTTGAAATTAATATAAAATGTATACCTTATTACAAAAAAATAAAATGTCTTTATTTTTAACACAGTGAAAAAAAAATAAAAATAAAAACAAAGTTGTCAATGGACAAAATTTTTGTTTTTAAAGTACTGCATTTAGATGTAGAAATAAGGTAAAAAAGTTTCAATCGATTTCTTGAACCCTTGCAAATCGACCGTTCGATCCTTTCGCGAAACCGTAGTTAAATAATAGTTCTTTGATAAGTGGTAGTTATTAGTTCATTAAAAAGTTATTAAACAAAGGTATTAAATCTAATAAATAGTAAATTGTTCAACTTTAAACTTTGAAGACATTCTATAGTAACTCTTCAAATCAAGATACTACGTTAAAGCCCGAAAATGCCATTTTAATATTACCAACTAAGGAAAATAATAAATGAAATAAAAAATATATTTTTAGGAAATTATGGAAAGACAAAATTCCCCATAGTACTTGTCTTTAAGATGCTTTTAATAATTATTAATTTAAATTTTAACCAAGGTACAAGGTGCATTAAGTTTGGGTTCGTTGTTTATCAAGTGGTGGAGTCTCCAAAACATTAATTACTCTGGTTAAACAAACTCAATGGGTAGTCAATAAAAGACAAGAATAATTTTATAAATATATATATTTTTTATTATAAAAACGATAAATATCCGTGCTTTAACAACCAATCTCCCACTCATCAAATCAATGATGATACAAGGGAGAGGCATAACCATGAGACACTACTTTTTGTACGACTGGGGTGGCGTGAACGGGGTGTCCGGTCTTTTCTACTACTGCGTTGAAACCGTTGTGGTCATCGGCGGTGTAGTGGACGGTTCTGAGGGTACCATCGGCTTCGGCAACACTGTAAGAGCCTTTGACAACGTCGCCATCACGCACTTCGTGTTGGGTTTTGTGGTCACCGGTGTGGGCATCTTGGACTCCATAGCTGTACTCGTATTTGGGGTGTGCCTGAGAAATAATAATTGTGTTAGATATTTTTCTTTATAAGACAATTTTTATTAGTAAAAGTATTATGATAATTATAATTTTAATCTTTAGAAAAAGCTCGTGTATTTTTATAAAATCCTTAAAAACTACTAAATGTTCATAAAACATACAGAAAAACTGTTTAAAAGTTTTTTACTAAAGCCTCCTTAGTTCAGTTTAAATAAAAATCAGGTTCGTTGTTTATCCAGTGTTGGGGTCTCCAAATTTTAAGTACTAAGAATAGAATAGAATTTGAATAACATGTTTCATGGGAACTGTACGCAACTGTACGCTTTATCTAAATCCAGTTAACTGCACTAGTACTTTTGTATTTTTGTATTGAGATAATAAAATAATTTTCACATTTAGTATTACTTTACAAGAAAGGCACTATTAAAACCATTGTATGACATTTGACAACTGTCAAATAATTTAAAGCTAACTTCAACCCGGGACTAAAGCGCTATAAAGCTACAACTTGTGTGTAGTGTGTATTTAAAAGGTCACTTTCCAGCCTAATGATATAAATAACTATTGGAAAAAAATATGAATTCAAATTTTTGACTAAAAAATGATTTTCATTTCTTGGTAAAAATCACTTACGTAGTAGTCGACAGAGTGAGACAAAGCAGGAGCGGCATGGGCTACTACTGGGGCGGCATGATGGTATACAGGGGCGGCTTGTGTGTAGACAGGGGCAGCATGGGAGTATACAGGGGCGGCGTGAGCCAACACTGGAGCAGCTACGTGGGCAGTGGAGTATGAGCTGGAAGTGGCTCCATGTCCATAATCCAAAAGCCCGGCCTGGGCGATAGCGGCCAAAGAGGCAATAGCTAAGATCTAAAATAATTAAAATAATTTTATTTTAATAATAAATATAATAATATGTTTAGTTTATTATTAACTACTATTAAATCACAATTTTATTAAATGCTTAAGTGTTAATAAAAAAAAATATTGTAATTCACTTAAGGTGTTTTAAAAAATATTTTACATAAAAATGTAATTTATAATAATTAAATCATTTTTTCTGTGGCTTTGTTAGTAAAAAAATCACTACACAATACACACCTTAGAGAACATTTTTAATTTGTATACAAAACTATACTGAATAAAAATATTTGAGGATTATTTTTATATTAATTTAAAAAATGAGGTAGTGGTAAGGACGAAAATCTGATATAAAAATTGAAAGTAAAGAATGTACCAAAAATGACCTAGATTAACATACAACGTTTGTGTAGAAGGAAACAAAAGCGTTTTGTTGGTAAGATAAAGCAAGGCAGGTGAAGGTCGTTTGTGAATTACTCTTTTTTTTACAGGTATCTTGTGAGTTTATTCTTATAATTATAAGTTAAGATAAATATCAATAGTTTTAAAGATTTTTTTATTTTGTTTTAATGATATCATTGTTGGTACATATCCTTCAGTTTATAATTTTATGCACAAAAGTATGTAATTAGAATCAAAAAAAGATATTAAAAATTACAGTTTTGCATGCTTTATCTGCTTGAAGTTTTTAGTAAAAAATGGTTTAAATTACTTCGAAACCTTGCAATAATGATTCCTTAAAAGCTGGTATAGAACAAGGTTGAAAAATTAAGACTTGATGAATTTTGACTAATTAAAATACAAGAAAAAACTTTTTTCTACGACATGGCATCGTTGCTTAGAAAATAAATCTTTTCATTGGCAAGGCAAAACACGAATGTAAAGTGACATTTTTGTGTGAAAAGTGACTAGTCTATGTGAAAAGAAATTGGCAGTATCGTTTGACATTCGTTTCAAATATATTATATTGTATTTGTATATATACGAGGTGTGTTCAGAAAATATCGGGAATATTCGTTTTTTGAAACAAATATTTATTTATTCGTCTACATTAATGTTGTCGCCTTCAAAATATTCCCCATCGGATATTATGCACATGTTCCAGCTCTTTTTCCAATACTCGAAATACTTCTAAAACTCGATCTTTGGGATAGCCTTTAGTTCTTTCAGCGATGCGCTTTAAATGTCATCTATGCTTGCAAAACGACGGCCCTTTAAGGTTTTTTTTATTTTTGGGAAAAGGAAAAAGTCAGACAGAGGCATGTCTGGCGAATATGGAGGCTGGGGCATCATTACAGTATTGTTTTTGGCCAAAAATTTTGTTCAAAATTTAACAATTTTGGAACAAATTTTGCTGCCACGCGTTTCATACCCAAAACATTTGTAAAAATTTCATGGAATGGGCCAATCGATATACCAACATCATCAGCGACTTCTCCGATGGTTTACAACCATTTCTTCCACTTTGTCCATGTTTTCATCGGTTGTTAATGTGCTTGTGGGGCGTTCCTCATTTTCAACGTCTTCACGGCCATCTTGGAAACTCTTATACCACTTGTAAACTCTTGTTTTACTTATAGCAGACTCACTATAGGCCTTTGTTAACATTTCACAGAATGTATTTCATTTTTTAAGCCAAATTGGATACAAATTTTCTTGGATCCATTTCTTTTAACGAACGAAAATCGCCGAGCTCATAAAACACCTCTAACCTTAGCGGCTGCCACAGACAAAGTAAACAATGAAAACAGCTAAAGTTTTTATTATACTTCGGGGGCATGTATACCAACATAATACATAAAATTTTATGAAACCGGACCCTTCGAAGCCGCGAAATTTAGCAGCCGTTATTTTCTGAACACACGTCGTATCTCTAAATATAATTTAGAACACAATTAATTGTGTTTGTATATTATATTCTAATTTTTAGTGCCTTTATTTAAATTGATAAGGTAAGTTTATTGATTTTAAGTAACTTATACCTTAAAAATTAAAATAATAAAATGAAAGTAATTTTAACAGCTGTCAAACACGTTTTTAGGTTATTTTGTTTTGTATTTTAATATAATAAAAAATAACGTAGAATAAACATTATGTTTCACTTGTGAGAAAAGCTTTCTTTCAGCTCGTGTTAATGCATACTCGGCCTGACAGCCTCGTAAGCAACTTTAACACTCGCATAAAAAAGTCGCTTTTCAACACTTGTAAAACAAATAACTATTGTATACTATACATTGTATAGTGCTCCTTATGAAGTAAAACAAAAACTCTTGCAAATGAAATTATTTTTTGAAAATTAATTAACTCACGCACTTTTACTTCCACCAATACATTTTCAGCCTTGATATATCACGATTTCAAATAGTTTGACGAATTATTAAAACAAACTTAAACCAATTTATAAGCATTTCGTCACCCAAATGATACCAAAATAAGATTCAATATTATAATTAGTATTGTTTGCTGACGCATATATTTAATACCAAATCAATCATAACCTTTAATAGTGAAAATTAATTACAAGTTTAATATTTGAATTTGTTAGATTTTTAATTAATGCGTTTGAAGTATTGCCAACGACAAGTTTATTATTGAAATTACTCAATACATTTTTAAGGGTCAAGTTTATATTTTTATTGGTGTTCATTATTAATTACACAAGCCCACAAAAAAAACAGAAGTGATCTGCGCCAGGAATAAGACCATGATATTTTTATACTTAAACTGAATCTGAACTCAGTTTAGCCAATATACAGTGTATAGTCGGATTTTTTCAAAGTAACGTATTCTGAATTGACTGTGAACTGACTAAAACTCTGCGGAATTAAAAAAAAGTTGTTTTAAAATTAAGAATTTATTACAGGTTTTCACCCTGTATATATAATTTGGATTTTTGTTAACTAACATATTTTCTTTACTTTTTAAAAGAGTTTATCAATAAAACTGTTTTTTTGCCACATTTTTAATGATCCTATTGTAAAAGTTTCTCACGCACTATCCTTACCAAATTTATTTTTAATTAATAATAATGTGGCCTGAATTAAGGGGATTATTTGTTGTTTTAATTTATGTTAATTAAATAATTTTTAAATTCATTTAAAACAGTTTAAAAGTATTAAGTATCTATCAATAACAAGTTTTTGAAGTCTTATGAAATCAAATTTTGAAATATAACTAATAAATAAAAAACAGACACTTACTAACTCCAAGTAAAAATAAAACTGTGTCAATTTAAGAATTCCTTGTTATGTACTCGTATGTATTTTTGAATATTATGATGATGAATCGATAACAGACATTAGTATTTTGTTTTAGGATTTAAATAATAATGATCTCTAAGGTAATATTTATTATATTATTTAATTTTTTAGAAATAATTATTTTTTAGATTTTGTGCGTATCTGCTTTTGTGGCTTTTGTTAGCGCTGGCAACTTAGGTCTCAACAGTGCCTACTTCACTGTCCATGTGTCCCACCCAGTAGCTCATCACTTTGTACCCCTTTTGGTTCATCCTGCTCCAGTTTTTGATCACTCTGCCCATCAAAATGTAGATTACCACGTAAGTCTTTACTTTTAACTGCGATGTAGGTATATTCTAACATGAAGAAGTAAGGTACCACAAGATTGTTAAAAAAAATTATTTATATTTACACATGGTTTTTTTAAATATTTTTCGTATGTAGGTACACATATTTATGCAGTCGTTAAAAATATAACTTCATCAGGCTCACCCCAAATACGAATGGAGCTATGGAGTCCAAGATGCCCACACCGGTGACCACAAATCCCAGCACGAAGTACGTGATGGCGATGTTGTCAAAGGCTCTTACAGTGTTGCCGAAGCCGATGGTACCCTTAGAACTGTCCACTACACCGCCGATGACCACAACGGTTTCAACGCAGTCGTAGAAAAAACCGGATACGCCGCCCCTGTTCAAAAAGTAGTAGCAGCTCCCCATTTGGCCCCCCCTCACTATATCCATCATTAGGGATTCAAGTTGTTGTTGTTATCTATTTCTTGTTTGCTATTTTTTATTTTATAATAAATTTTTAATTTATAAAATTGGTTTCCTTTTAAATTTATTAGTTTAAACAATGATTTATTTCATTTGAATTTTGCTAAAATATTCATTATTATAGCATTCAGAATAAAATTTTTTGAGATACAAAAATTTAACGTTAATTTTACGCTAGGGTAGAAGTTGTTTGAAAAGTGTTTTGGACCAGGGAATATTTTATTCGATAATTTAAAAAGTATGACATGGTCTTTAAGTTTAAAGCATATATAATTGGTAAAGTGTTAAAATATGTATAGGTATAAATGTGGTAAATATTACGTCTGGACGTTTTTGTACATAATCATAATTTTTCTTTTCTTTCTTTCTAGTTTTGTAATTTTTTACATAAAAGAAAAATGCTAATGATTTAATCCACTATTGGGATAATTGTATTAAGTTTAATAAACAGCATTTTAGTCACAAGTTTTAATTTGGCTGGAGTGTTTGATTAAAACGAGTGTCTAAAGTTTATAAACGAGTTGCATACTATACTTTACCTTTCATATTTAATTTACTAAACATCTGACAACCGTAAGTCAAATTTAACCTTTTTTTACCAATTTATAATACAGCTAATTTCAGTCCGTGACTAAAGCGCCATATAGTCATAGCTGTATCTAATTTAACTGAATTATTGCTGTTAAATCAAGACCATTATTTAAAACAATTTTATTATGAATAACATTTATGTTGATATGATGTTAAAATATTAAAAGCGTGAAAATGTCTTTATTCTTAAAGAACAACTCATTCAGAAATGCAATTAACCTATAGTTCCTATTGACTTATCTAAGTTGGACATGTCCAGTGGTGATACCCGTATATCTTATTTTAATTTAAAGTTTTAAAAATAAATACAATATAATTTGTTATATTTATAATTTATTTTAAATTTATCATACAAAATTACAGTCATTGTTTTAGATAATTTAGTAATACTTTTAAAACCATTTTAAATTCCAATTTGAAACTATAATTAATAACAAACAAAAAATCAGTATAGACATAGGTATACATATATGACACAATGTTAAAGCTTTAGTGGTGAAAGTGCCAAAATTCGTTAATTAATTAATTAATTAATTAAGATCATTTGTAAATATTTAAATAGTTTCACAAGCTTGACACTTAAATAAACAATTATAATTCTTTAATATTTCATGCCACATTAAAGATTAGCGTACAAGCTTACCATGATTTTAAATCATAACTTAATTATTAAATGTTTTTTGATTTTGTATTACTTAATATTTTAGATAGGACCTTTAGGCTTAACACGGTATATAATAGGTTTATACTGAACTTAAACATTTATAAGTCAGTGTTCGTTACCAAATCAAGTTTGATTCAAATCAATTATGTTTCCTGTTACAATTAATTTTTGGGAAATGATAAATCCCCCTAAAAAATTCCCATAAGTAGTTTTTTATCCCATAAAAAATTCCCCCTACAACTCTTTCCAACGTTTAAAAAAACTAATCTCGCAACACTGCATGATGATAATTGTACTGAATTATAAACAAAATAAAAGATAAATTAAAAGCAAATATATTATATCACCCAGTTACTTTATTTTATAAATATATGCAAATTATAAATATATACAAATTCAGGTACATTAATAATGATGATCATAATGAGATGGAATGGCCAAAACAGGAGCAGCTACAACTTTTTGTACGATTGGTGTGGGGTGTACAGGGTGTCCTGTCTTCTCTACGACCGCATTAAAACCGTTGTGATCATCGGCAGTGTAGTGGACTGTTCTGAGGGTGCCGTCCGGTTCGGCAACAGTGTAATAACCTTTGACAACGTCGCCATCACGTTCTTCGTGTTGGGATTTGTGGTCACCGGTGTGGCCATCTTTTACTCCGTAGCTGTACTCGTATTTGGGGTGTGCCTGATGAAACGAATTATTAATTTTTTTACAAGATTTTAATTTAATAATTACGTAGTAGTCAACTGGAGCTGCATGTGTTAACACTGGGGCAGAGTGAGCTACAGTAGCATAGCTGCTGGCTGGACTGAAAAGTCCAGCACTGGCAAAAGCAACCAAGGAAGACAGGCACACAATCTAAATTGAAAGTATCGGATATGTAATAAATAACAATAAATAAGAATTTATTTATTTTACCTTAGTAAACATTTTTAATCCAAAAACACTTCCACACTGTTAATATATTTACAAATGTTATTATTTTATATATTTAATTGTTGAGTGGTGGTAATAAAACCATAATGCATGAAACAGAAAGTGTAAAAATGTTGTAATTATAAAATATTTATCATTGATTCTTCTAGGTAAATGCCAGCTAATGTTAAAGTAAATTTATTAATATTCTACAAAAATAATAACACAACTGTCACTTTTTGTACCTTCCTTGTAAGAATTTTTATTACTTTGTAATAATATTTTGCAATTACAGTATGTAATAAATAAATCAAAGGATACAATGTTTTCTTAACATAATCCTATTTTGAAGTTATTTTAAATTAAATTCGTGACTAAAATTTAAACTTTATACATGATATAAAATAGGCTGAGCCAAAAAAATCAACTATTTTTTTTAAAGTATATCGAAAATATGGTTTGGGGTGACAAAAAAAAATTATTGTGAAAGTTTGAGTCCATAATATTAATATTAAGAGGTCTATCATCGCAATTTTAATTTTTTTCCTCAGCAAGTTTTTGTCTCAGAACTCCCAAACCATTGAGTTTAACAAAATTGACTTGAAAATATTTTTTTAATAAAATTAAATGCTCTACAAAAAAGGTTAAAGTGAAATTTTCCGTCAGATAAACCGTTTCCTTAAAATCATGCCTTAAAAATTGGTATAGTTTTACATTTTGATCTTTTAAATTGGAATTTTGTAATTCATGTAAAAATCAGTACCCATAAAAAACCGATAAATATTCTTATGGGAAATCAAATGCCTTACAAAAAAAGCCACTCAACATTTTTGGCTAAATTCACTCAATCAAAAGTTATTCAAGGTTCAAATTTGGTTTTGACTTCAAATTTAACCTTGAATAACTTTTGATGGAGTAAATTTAGCCAAAAATGATAGAAGACTTTTTTGTAGAGCATTTGATTTCCCATAAGAATATTTATCGTTTTTTTTTCGGAAACTGATTTTTACATGAATTACAAAATTCCAAAGTTAAAAGATCTAATTGTAACTATACAAATTTTTAAGGCATAATTGTAAGAAAAAGGTTCATCTGACGGGAAATTCCAATCAAACCTTTTTTGTAGAGCATTCAATTTTCTTCAAAAAATATTCATACGTTAAATTTGTTAAACTCAATGGTTTGGGAGTTCTGAGACAAAACTCACTCGGGAAAAAAAAATCTAAAATTGCGATGATACACCTCTTAATATTAATATTATGGACTCAAACTTTCACATAACTTTCACCATAATTTGTCACCCCAAACATTATTTTCGATATACTTTACAAAAAAAAATAGTCGATTTTTTTGGCCCAGTCTAATATAAAATTATATTTCCCGAATAAAATAATTTTGGCATTACCTAATAAAAGGTGATAATAAAAATATTTTTTTATAATTAACATAACCCAAATAAAATAAAATTTTAATTAGGTAACATATTATTTAATAGGCACCCACGTTAGTATTTTTATGTAGTTTTTACACTTTTACACAACCAGTTACAACTGACATTCACCTAGACTATGGTTTTTCAAATCCTAGGTCATTTTTCATAATTCCCAAATTCCTATTACATACTTTTAGTTCCTTACCTCCACTTTACAATTAACATATAAAAGAGAATTGTTGTTAAAAATTGTCAGAACGGATTCATCCATTCAATCAAACATGTTGACCAAGGTACAATATTAAAGTGTATAAACAATAAATTATGTTGATATAATTGTTGTTTATTTTAGATTTTGTGCGTTTTTTCTTTGGTGGCTCTTGCCAGTGCTGGACTTTACAGCCCACACGCCTACTCTAATGTAGCTCACACCGCCCCAGTTTTGACCCATGCCGCCCCAGTATTGGCCCATGCTCACCACGATGTTGACTACTACGTAAGTATTCTATTTTTAAGCCATTGGAATACTTTTTATTAATTCGTTTCATCAGGCACACCCCAAATACGAGTACAGCTACGGAGTCCAAGATGCCCACACCGGTGACCACAAATCTCAACACGAAGAACGTGATGGCGATGTTGTCAAGGGTTATTACACCGTTGCCGAACCCGATGGTACCCTCAGAACCGTCCACTACACCGCCGATGATCACAACGGTTTCAATGCGGTCGTAGAGAAGACAGGACACCCTGTACACCCTGTACAAAAAATCGTAGCCACTCCCCTTCTGGCCACCCCTCATTATCATCATCATTACTAAGAGTTGTATTTGTAGTTATTATTTATTTTTATTAAACGATATTTTTTACTGCCCTATTTAATGATTTATTTTTTTTAATGCTAAAAGGTTAATAACTACCAATAAAGTGTGGCTGGTACCTGTAATAATAAAAATCAATATGATTTTTTTTACAAAAATTGTTACGAACATAATTAACATAATCAAGTCTATAACCATCAATATAAAACACTATTTCCAGTTAAATCAAATGGAATGTATCTGATATGTATATTTTATGCAACTTTTTATATAAATAGTATTTATGTTAGTAACAAAAACTTCACAAGACTGAATTTCAACAAAATTATTGAAATACCTGCTACATGACGTTTTTTCAACTTATAAGTACATTGCAATATCCGCAATAAGTCTAATTAATTTACTTAAGTATATGGCCTTTGCCTCGAATATCTATAATTTATACGTTATTAAATATTACTTCATAATGTTTAATGCTCTGTAGGGCGATTACTTAATGTAATTAAAATACGTATTTAGTTTGTCATTACACATTTGTGTGTTGTTTGGTTACTAGTGGTAACCATGATATTTGATATGTTGGTATAAATTATACCTATTAAAACCTATGTTTAGAATTTAAAACGAACGTTTTACATGATGTTGAAAATTATACAGGGTGCCTCATAACTCCGACTGTGATTATTAACCTTTCAAAAAGGAATGACTTACTTCAGGATGTTTTAAAATAAAAATTAAACAACTAGTTCTGTGCCCCAGAGCCAAAATCTCTAAGAATTCCACTCTAGCGGGATTATCTTCCGGCTGCAGGTGCTGCACTCGCGTAAAATGAACGTCCTTCATAACCCTCTGAACTGTCAACGGGAAATTGGGGTAAAACTTCCCTTATGCTCTTCCCACTAGGCATTGAAAATAGCTTCTCTATTTTTCGCTGTTCTGATACGTTAAGGAGCACCTTCAAACAGGAGGAAAACATAAGGGTGATTCTACAAAAGTTGGACAACTTGATGTCATCAGTCATTAGAGTAGGTATTTTAATATTTTTTGTAAATATTTTAGTATATTACAAAAGATCCAGGTTTTTTTAACTTGTTCACCCAATTTTAATGTATTTTTTCAAAAGCACGTTTGTAGAAAAACATAATAAATATTCAAAACATCAGTGGCGTGTCAGAACTCCTGAATCAAATATTTGAGTGATTTTATTTTAAAATATATTCAATTTATTTTAAATTTTTCAATTTCACGAAAAACTATAAAATAATTAATAATGTATTTTTCTTATTTTATCATAGATTCGAATAATAGCAATTTTTAAAAAATTGATAATCTTTGTACTCACTTTTACCCGTCAGTTCTGTGTCCAATGTTAAAATTCAAAATTCCTGCAAAATATTGAAGTTTAAACGTCAAGTCCTCGTTTTAACTCAAGTATTGGTAAAAAATTACCTACAGAGGTAGCGGCGAAGTTGTGGTGAATGCACGTATAGTTCCAGTCAGTACTGTGGTGAGTAGTTATTTTCTTACGTATATATGTATATTTCATTGTAATTTATATAAGACTATATGTGATTTGTTGATAAGTAGCATGCCCTAATAAAAAATATCAGTAAAATACTTAATTCAAAATTATAATCTCAAATTTGTATCCCATTCATCAGTACCGTGTCGTCCATGTTCGATGTTTCGGTTATCTTTTTTTCGCACACTTCAATTTAAATTCTGCTTGCGCGTTTATTTAATGTCATTATAAACTCATATAAATTTGGTGTGGGTCCCATATCTAATGATTTAGATATCGATATACCCAAAATCCACCAGCCGCCACTGATGTGTGGTATTATTTGATTTTAAGATATTTAATATATAATATGCTCAAAGTTGCAATAAATCTTATATTTTCCAATAAATTATGTATTTAATTAGTACCCTGGTATACTCGTCACTTCCATTGCATTCAAATTTAGAAAACACTAATATTTCAGAAACTGTTTGAAAAAGAAACTGGCCCGGTCTGGAACAGTATATATATTATATTATCTATGGTCTTATAACAAAATACTGTTTAATTTTCTCCGAAAACTATATAAACAAAATGAGGTCAAAACTTGCCCAACTTTTGTAGAATCACCCATAACTTAAAATGATAAATAATGACAGAAACAAAAATTGACAGTAGTGTCACAATGAGGTGGATTCCAGTCGACCAAATATTTTACATATTATATTAACAATGCATCCTAAGTATCCTATCAATTTAAAGAATTCCCTTTGACCATGTATTGGGATTGGCTGTCGTTCTTATTCTTATCTCGCTTATCCATTGCGTTAGATAATTTTAATTTTCAAGTATGTGTTGCATAAAATAAAATATTACAAAATCTGTTGATAAAAAATCCTAAAAACAATGCAGAAATGATTTTAAAAAATATATCAAAATATTTTACATCAGATTTTAACTTACTTAATTTAATTTTCACCTATAAAAATAATTACTTAAATTAATTATGCAAAAGTGTTAAATTATATGTTTACAATTTTAATTAACCGAAGTAAACCGAGATGACTTAATAACACGCGTATTTAATTACCTATTTTAACTTGAATTTGTTAAAATCAGAACATAAATTAATGTAAGCGTATTTTAATCACTCCTGACATACTGTAACCAAATATCGCAATAATATTTCTTAAGGAAGTACATGAGTTTACCGCTTCGTTGCATTTTATGATATTTGCTAATGTCCAACGAATTATGCAATCCCGTTTACATAAACCATATCAAGTACTTACGCCTTTAATACTATTCTTATGGTATTAAAAAGTATGTTTTGGTTTAAACAACAATATTGAAAATCGATTGTTAAAGTTATAATTATAATTTAATCGATTTTTGTATAGATTTGATCTCAGCCTTATTCCAATAATAATAAATACAATGAAAATACATTACAATTCATAGATAGATAACAATCCCACAAAATGTATACATTTAATTTTTCTGATGAAAAGTTATAAATACCAGCAGTGGCGGCTGGTGGATTTTGGGCACACCCATATCTCAGTTATTAGACTTGGGACCCACATCAAATTTATATGAGTTTATAATGACATTGTATAGACAAGTTCTGCGCAAGCAGAATTTAAATTGAAGTTTTTAAGTCTGCCCCAGCCTCCTGTCCCCCAAATTAAGATAATTCAAATTAAAGTGGTACAATATTTAATTAACTGAAGTTTATCGACAAATTTCAAATTTTATTAAAAAAAAATTCAAGAATTACAGGTTTTATACCATTTTAAATTTTTATTATTTCTTAAACTAAATTAAAAAAAAATTAGAAATGGTCTAAAATCTGTAATACTTAATTTTTTTTAATAAAATTTGAAATTTGTCGATAAACTTTAGTGAATTAAATATTTTACCACTTTAATTTGAATTATCTTAATTTGGGGGGTCAGGAGGCTGGGGGGATACACTTAAAAACTAACTTTTTTCGCAAACTTTAATTTAAATTCTGCTTGCGCAGAACTTGTTTATATAATGTCATTATAAACTCATATAAATTTGATGTGGGTCCCATGTATAATAAGATATAAGAGATAATAACTGAGATATGGGTGTGCCCAAAATCCACCAGCCGCTATTATACCAGATTGTTATAAAAACAAACTAAATTAGAGACATGAAGTTTTTTTTTCAAAAAATTATGATGAAAACGTAAACGTAAAAATAACTAAATTTTTTACGATACTGTTGAAATATCTTTACCATCAAAATTGGTGTTTTTATATCACATCACTAAAGATGTGGTGGATGGCAGTTCGTGGTGGGTGGCACTAGTGGAGCTGTATTACTCAGGAAAAATTCTTACGAAATATTTTAGTTTCTTTTTATTGAGCCCTATTTTAGTTTTTATTTAATAAATTAATTTTTTTACCTTAAACTACTTTACATAAACAATGTTAAAGAAGCATGACTACTTCTAATAAATTTAAAACAATAATAAAGTTTCAATAAATGGATAGTAAATCAAAGGTATTCATGCATTAAATATTTATATGCATATAAAAGATTACAACAATTTAATTCTTATATAACTTTACGGCTAAATCAATTTTAGCAGAAGTAAAATATGCAATGCATTTAAAGCGTTTATTGTTAAAACAAGCCAATATTTAATAATAATAATAATAATAATAATAATAATAATAATAATAATATTTTTAATGTATTTTAGTATTAATATACGTTTTTCTTATATAAAAATTATTTATTTAGTCGTAAAATGTAATGTATTTCCCCATACTCGCAAAGTTAATTTATTTAATCTTTCATTAAATGTACAATAAAACAGCCAGTCGCGCGATAAATAAAGCATGTAATAAATAGCCGATCTAATTCAATTGTTAATAGTGGTACCAACAGAAAATTAATTAACATTATCTTAGTATCTCGCTATGGGTAGTGGCTGAAATAAAAGTCCGACTTTAAAATTTAATTAAGACAGATTGATAGGTTATATTCTTGCAAAACGTTTGTTTTTTTATTTAACAAACCTATTTGTTGTTGAAACTTAAGGCAAACATGTTCTTAGATAGGGACATACCCAAAGAAATTTTATAAAATATATTATCAATAATTTTATAAATTTTTGAAAATAATGCAAATAATTATTCGAAAGTAATCGAATTCTTTACAATTATTTATTTACAAATCAATATCTGGACACCTTTTCTAAAATATGTTTTATATTTTAATGGTCCTTGACACAATTTTGAAACAATCCATTTTAAACATGAATATTGGAAGCTTTTTTATATATTTTTTAAAAATTAATTACCGTAAAACCACTAAATATGTTATGAAATTTTCCATTGGTTAAAGGTAATTGACAAGAATTTTAATTTGTGGTTTACCAAAATTAGCTGCCCATCGTTAAAGAGAGGTGATTGTCTACGTTACTGTTTTTTTTCTTAATTTAAAGAATAACAAGGTGTATATTGCTATTGTAATACCTACCTTAATTATTAAAATCCTTTTATGAATTGTTTTTTTATTTAAAGAGTAGCTGCTACAAGGACAGTTAAATTGGAGAAAAGCTTTTATTGAAATAAAATTTTAAAATTTAAAAACAGCGGTTCATAAATATTTAAAAAACTGAAAACCCGTTAAAACCAAAAATCCTTATCCTTATCCTGTAAATTTAATAATATTAGAAAAAAGTTCACATAGCTTAAGAATATAAAAAAGGAAAGGAATACATTAAAGAAAAAATGGTTTTTATAATTTTTGCAACGATCTATTACAATGCTGTTACATAGTTACCTCCCAAATTACATTACATTTTATAACATACACAAATGGATATACTTCTTATACTAAAATTGCCCAAAATTGTCGAACCATGAAAATATTCAAATGAATCACATGCAGAGAAAGCAGCTTTCCATGGTTTATACGTCTTTAGATTACGTACATATTATACAATGGGATCAAAATATATCCAAAATTTAAGTCAATAGTAAATGAGACTATTGAAACCGAAAGTGATATCGACGCCTTAATTCTTATGTAAGACATAATAAACAAATATCTTAAAAAATTAAGAAACAATGTATACGTGTCTAGTATTTATTGCCTTTAAATTAGTCATTGAAAATTTTTAAATGTCAACAAAAATTATCGATTTTAATAATAGAGCTGTTTTATTGGCCAATATATCCCACTGCGCGGAACTGTCAATAATTAACAATAAAATATCAAAAGTATTTGTATTCGGTTTTGCACTATTAGTTTTATATAATGGTATCCTGAATATCTTATAGGTAAATGCTATTTCTTAATTTACCTGTTCGATATAATATACATATAATATATTATATTAAATTGTAGACTATACAAAATGCATTGTTTAATTACAATTAGTGGGAGAAAGAAAGAAATAAATAATACATAAATAAAATAAAAAAAGAAATGTTTTAACAAAATGATAATATTAAATTCATAACACATTATCGGGGGTAATTACACAAGTGCTTAAAAATTATCGATAATTTTGCTTGAAAGCATATTATGAAAATGACTGAATGCATGTTTAAAAAGGCAATATACTTGAATGCAAAATTATCTGATTATTTTTATGCACGAGTGTAATGTGTTTAGATAATTACACGAATAAACTAATTATATCACGAAAAACATTTTCAAATATTTTTTTGTTTGCAGTATTTTTTGGTACACTATTTTTCACATTTTCATTAATTGATTCAAATGATTCTTTACCAAAACGTGACATTTTAAATAACTGTCACATTAAAATAAAAACTGACGTTATTTTTATTTATTGCCATGGATACGTGGATACAATGGAATTATCGAATCCTAGTAGACAATTATCTTGTAGGCGTATAAGAGGGTAATTATCGCTGTAATCAAATAAAACTAAAAATATCTAACATTGTTCATATAAATAAATAGGAAAATGTAACAAAATCGAATTTAAGCAACAACAAAGCACTTCCTTCATGAACATTAAAATCACGACACGTTTTTCTAGGAGGCATGTTTAAAAATGGGTATTCCATATTCACAACACAATCCTTGGTGTTGTACAACTTTACTTTCCTTTAACAAACGCGTGCACATGACGCAGCGCCAGTCCGCTGCGGGATGATTTTTTTTCAATTGGGGTAAAATCAGCGCGGTGCGGAGGCCAAAGTCAACAGTATATAAATCTGGCTTGGACAGGGGAGCGTTCAGTGTGGTTCTTGGACGGCTCAGTGAAAAAACATAAAATGTTCGCAAAGGTGTGTACCAACTTAGTGCCATTTACTGGATTTGAAAAAAGTATACTTGTATACATGTGTAAAGTGTCTATCTGGAAAACTAATTTTTTTGTAATGTTTTTTTTTAAAGGTTTAATTTTTACATTTTTTTTAGATTGTAGCTCTCGCAGCCATTGTTGCTTGCTCCCATGCTGGTATTATCGGGGGGCATGGTGGATATGGTGGTTATGGGGCATACGTTTCTGCCCCAATTGCCTACTCCGCCCCTTTGATTAAAGCCGCCCCCGTAGTCGCTGTAGCCGCCCCTGTGGTCAAAACTTCCGTCGATTATTATGTAAGTACAAAAATGCAGTACATTGTACACGTTGTATAAAAAAATATTAATTTTAACAATATATCAATTTTTTTTATTTTTTTTATCGTAATTGACAGAAATTTAAAACTACAAATATAAAAAACATGTACAGCGTAAATTATTGAAGAAAAAAAGAATTTTATTAATATACCTAATGGTATAATTTTGTTTAAAATTTGAAAACAGTAATTGTTACTTTAAACTATTAAATTAACTTTAAAATATGATTATGTTAAGGAAATATGTCATTCTTTGATTTTTTTTGTAATTGCAAAATATTATCACAAAGTATTAAAAATTGTTACAGGGGAAATGTTTAAGGTACAAAAAGTGACAGTTGTATTTATTGGAATTCCCATTAGAATTTCTAACTTGGGAATCTACCGTCAATAAAGTCTCAAGTTCTAAATCAAAATTTATTCCTTGAAAATAGAATAACAATCAATATAGAAGCAGTTTTTACAGTAAAAGATAAGAGAATATTTTATGAGGACTGTGCGCAAAATTTTAAACGCTTTATCAGTTAAATCTAGTTAACAGCACTACTCTTGGATTACATATAGATGAACATCTAGATTGGTGTGTTCACACAGATTTTTTATGTAGCAAATTGAATGGGGTAGCATACTCGTTTTTAAAAAATTACCTTGTTAAGTCAACACTAATGGTAGTGTATTTCTCAAATTTCCAATCTCTGCTAAGGTACGGGATTATTTTTTGGGGAAGAAGCAAAAATATCAAAAACATTTTTGTCACACAGAAATTTACAGTTAGAATTATTAATAATAAAAAAGTGACATGTTCTGTAGAGGTTTGTTTCAAGTAAAATATTGACAGTTACTGGGTTATATGTATACGAAATACTGATTTTTATGTTTAAAAATAAGCACTTGTTTGAACAACTTAAATCTAGTCGAAACACAAGAACGCACTGTTACATGTATCCTAGTCATAGATTAACCATATATGAAAAAAGTTGTTTTTATTCATGTATTGTCTGTTATAATAAATTACCAACTCGTCTTAAGACTGTTCAAAATTTTAATAGTTTTAAATCAAATGTTTTTAATTATTTAGTTGAAATGGAACCATATGATCTCGATCAATTTTTAACATATTAGCTCTATACTTTTCTCCTGTGACAATATTTCCAATATTTTTGTAGTTTAGTTTAAATGTACAAATTATTTTGAAATAAATAAATGTTATTATTATTATTATTATTATTACTACGGCGAAATCAAAATGTAAATACAACGTTCCTATAATCTTTTTAAATATTGGCGTAAATAAACTATTTATTACTTTTATTTTTGTATTGAGATAATAAAATAATTTTCACATTAAATATATTATTTTACAAGAAAGAAACTTGAGGAATTTGACAACTTTCAACTAACTTAAAAACTAACTTTAGCACGTGACTAAAAATCTGTTACTATAGTAACAGATTTTTAGTCACGTGCTAAAGTTAGTTTTTAAGTTAGTTATAACTTCAGCCCGTGACTAAAGCGTCATAAAGCCACTTCCTGTTAAAGTGTATAGATGTGGTAAATCTGGACTTTTTTTAAATAAGTATTTTTCATTTAGGCTTTTGATTTTGAACTATGGTTTTTATATAAATTTCTTTAACTTTGCTGGTTAATAATTTCGAGAAAAATTATAATTAACGTTTTTATTACCTACTAACAAATTTTTACAGTTTATTTTTGTCAAATTCTTAAAATGTTTTATATACTTTTATATAAATAAATAGTCACAAAACATTAAAATATTATTAAATTAGGTTTTCTAACTTTTATAACTCAAAAACTACCTTTTTATACCTACTTAAAATAACCCCTTTTATAGCATGGCAAACCTTTGGTACCCTGTATGATAAAATACTACCACTATACAGGGTGTCCTGAAATTAGTGCACCATACTTTAACAGCAGATTCTACGTGCATAAATAAGAAAAAAGTCCCTATAAATATAGGTCGAGAAATGCCTCCTAAGGGAGCTACAGCCCCCGAAAAGGGAGCCCCTAAAGATGGTTTTTATCTAATATAAATAAAAAAGTAAAAACACCCTGTCACTTATTACATGAAACTGTCACCTGTCTTAAATTATTCTATTTTTTCCTAAACATGGCACCCGTATTCCAAGGACCACGCGAGTCCATTTCTATGATTGTGATTTAATTGTGAATTTTTATGCAATGTAAAATAATTTTCAAATCGATTTTATGCGAAAACGGTGTATGTTATCGAAGTTCAACAAGATGACCTTTTTTATGTGCAAAACTCTAAAATTTTATAATCTGACACCAAATTCTGGTACAAGATACGTACAAAAAAGTTTAGGTGGTTTTAACCCTACTTCCTATCAATCTGACCCAAACCACATAAAAAATTTTAAATTGTTATTGTTACGCCTTATTGGTCATAAAAAGTTTAATTAATTCCCCAAATTTCATTTTTATATTTTTAACGGTTTTGGAGATATTAAATAAAAACCATCTTCAGGGGCTATCCTTTTGGGGGCTGTAGCTTCCTTAAGATGCATTTCTTGACCTATGTTTGTAGGGACTTTTTTTCTTATTTTTGCACGTACAATCTGCTGTTAAAGTATGGTGCATTAATTTCTGGACACCCTGTATATTATATATATAATATATATAAAATGCATAATAATAATAATAATAAATAATGTATTTGCTAAACAGATTCTATAATCATATTAATAGTTAAAAATTCCTAAAATCAAAGCTACCAAAATAATAATAATAATATTAAAACCATTGCGTCTAGAGCTAGTGGTAAAAGACATTATAACTTTGGGATTTTGGTATCAATGCACTTAACCCTCAAATACATTAATTCACAAAAACTTTCAAACTTTATCTTAAATATTTATTCTTAGGCTCATCCAAAATACGAATTCAACTACGGAGTAGCCGATGCCCACACCGGCGACCACAAATCCCAACACGAAGTACGTGACGGCGATGTTGTCAAAGGCTCTTACACCGTTGCCGAACCAGACGGCACCCTCAGAACCGTCCACTACACCGCCGATGACCACAACGGTTTCAACGCAGTGGTCACAAGAACAGGACACGCTGTGCACCCTGTAGCCATCAAAACCGTTGCCGTGGCTCCAATCGCTTTGGGTCATGGTCACGGTTACCATTAAAGATCCACCATGGCGAACAGATAGCTGCTCATTTGTAAATACCTCATTCCTAAACGTATTACCTATCTTTATTTCCATTTTATACTTTCTCGCATTTTGTATGCCACTTATACTATATTTATTTTTTTACTAAATAAATGTTTTATTCTTCATAAGAATTTTGCTTTTTATTTTGGTCTACAAAAATTGGTTAGTTTTGGAAATAAATGTTATATTAAAATGCAAATTTTATACGATTTTTTTGTCCCGATCAAACTATAAAAAATCATAAAAATTTACAAAATAAAGCTTTGTTTCAACTCAATTGGTTTAAACTGTCAAATATAATCATTAAATGATCGTTGCATAAAAAAGAATAAACAGTAAAAAAATATTTGTTAATTTTAACCAAATATTTAACTAATTGAATAAGTAGTTTGTAATTAATAATTACAAACTACTTATTACTAATTATAACAAACATTTTGCAGATTTAATAACAAAATCCTATATAAATAACACCAAAAATTAAACCGCACCGGACTATTTTTTCTAAAAATATTCCTATCCAATAGCAAAACCCTCGCTGGGCTTATAAAAGTTAGCTCGAATTTTTTTTTGATGGCCGTTTGTATTTTCTTGCTTCATATACCTATAGGTATACCCCAATTTATCAATCGATTTTTCTCCTATACAGGGTGTTTCTTTTAACTTGAGACAGCTCAATATCTCGAGAAATGCGCATTTCACGGAAAAATGCCTTAAATAAAAGGTTAATGTGACCAAAGGGGACATTATTTGGTGCTACCGCTATCCACCCCCTACCCCTCCTTAAGGGTGAAACGGGGGGTAACTTTGGAAAGTCAAATGGGATGACCCGATTTTTTTCACAGATTTTGGTAGTACATAAAAAAATAATAACTTTTATTTGAAACTTTTTTTAATTTATCAACAGATGGCGCTGTAATTCAAAATTTAAGAAAAATGTGTTTCCTTGTAAAGTTTATTATTTGAAACGTTTGAAAAACAAAAATTAACATTAAATCAACAATAGTCGGCTCTGAAAACAATTTATAACAAATGTTCGAAATGTCGTCCTTCCATTTCGACACATTTTTGAATTCGGGTAATGAATTCTGGCACACAACGCGACAACATGTCTGGCGGTATCGACTTTCCTGGTCCGCTCCACCGTGTCCTCTCGAGTACCGGCATTTTCTAGAAAACGATCTGCAGGACCTTTTGGTGGATGTACCACTAGCACGGCTCCAAAACATGTGGTACCAGCATGATGCGCATTATTCGGAAAATGCTCGAGAAGTGCTGGATGGGAGTTCAATGGCCGGTGGATCGGTAGACGTGGTCCAGTAAGTTGGCCTGCTCGATCACCTGATCTTACGCCACCAGACTTCTTCCTGTGGGGTTACTTAAAAGAAAAAGTTTACGCTGCAATTCCTACAACTCGGGAGGACATGGTGAAGCGGATCAGGAACGCCTGTGCGGCGATACCGCCCGACATGTTGGCGCGTTCTATGCCAGAATTCATTACCCGCATTCAAAAATGGGTCGAAATGGAAGGACGACATTTCGAACATTTTTTATAAATTGTTTTCAGAGCGGACTATTGTTGATTTAATGTAAATTTTTGTTTTTCAAACGTTTCAAATAATACATTTTTCAAGGAAACCCATTTTTCTTAAATTTTGAATTACAGCGCCATCTGTTGATAAATTAAAAAAAAGTTTAAAATAAAAGTTATTCATTTTTTTATGTACTACCAAAATCTGTGAAAAAAATCGGGTCATCCCATTTGACTTTCCAAGGTTAAACGGGGGGTAGTTTAACCCTTAAGGAGGGGTAGGGGGTGGATAGCGGTAGCACCAAATAATGTCTCATTTGGTCACATTAACCTTTTATTTAAGACATTTTTTCGTGAAATGCGTATTTTTCGAGATATTGGGCTGTGTCAAGTTAAAAGAAACACCCTGTATATTCGATTTATATCGTCAAGATTTTTTGTAGAAATGTAGTTACTGAACAAATAAACCCATTTTGTGAACAACCTATATCCCAAAAACCCAACCCAACCCAACCCAACCCAATTTTTGGGACCAAATATTCGAAAAATTATTTTTTTTTCAATTTCATTGTTCACCCTATTATGAAGGACCTGTGCGACAAATATTGGATTCTTTTTTAAAAATAGGAGTTAATATGTCGCTGAAAATTCCTTTCCTTCATCGCCATTTGGACTACTTCAGTCGACAGAATCAGATGAACAGAGCGTTATCATTAAACTGCGATGCCATTTGAGTCCAGATATATAGGAAAACGAGCTAGCCGAAACATGTTGGTGTAGTAAACATATTTTTGACTACGATCAGGTAGAAAATGAAAATGAAGAAAATAAAGGAGAAGAAGTGGAAGGGATGGAATTCTCCAGCAATTAATCAGATTTCTCAATGTTTTGATATAAAAAAGTTTTTTTATAATAAAATTAATACAAAATAAAAAATCAAACTCTCTGTACTTTTCTACAATTCTATTTTATCTATTTAATTTTTTCCTACAGATTTTCCAAAGATTTCGGCAAAATATTTGTGAAAAGATGAATATTTTGGAAAATTTAGTTTAAAAATTGTTTTCCAGCAAATAAGCAAACTTAAAGTTCAGTTTTGTGTGCGTATTTTATAAATTACTTCTTTTAATATACTTTATAACAATTTTGCCAGAAGAAGTAGCAAGAAATTTTAAATATTATCGAAATTTTTTTTGAATATTTAATCCCAAAAATTGGGTTTTTGGAATAAACGTATATGCGAAAAAAATCGATTTATAGGTCTAAATTGGGGTATATGAAAATACTCGAAAATACAAACGGCCAGAAAAAAATTCGAGCTAACTTTTACAAACCCAGCGAGGGTTTTGCTATTGGATAGGTATATTTTCAGAAAAAAATGGTCCGGTGCGGTTTGATTTCGATGACCCGAAAATTGTCGCACAGTGTAATTCAACCATAATTCTTGTAATTTTCAAAGAGGACCTTATTTTTACAAACTTTTTTGTATACTTACATAAGTATTTGTTGGAAATTGGGAACTTAAATAAAAAGAATTTTGGTAAGAAATGTTGCTTTATTAACCTTTTACTGGTGGCGCACGGCCTAACAGGCCCAAGCGATCTTATTTAACGGATAATTATGAAAATAATTAAGAGGCAACTCTGTATTTTTCAGTACCTTCCTAACTTTTTGCGTAGAAAGGTGTAGTGCAATGTTTATTTACTTACAGTTCAAACTTAAAAAGTTATAACCTAAAACGGCCTGAAAGGCCGGGCGCCACCATTTATGCTATACGACTATTTTGTGGTATATTAATTATTTAGCATATTTTTTAATTTATTCTATCAAATATGGTCATATTTTATGGGCTAATGAATGTGGCTGGAATAAATGCCCAAGAAATACACACTGCTAATAATTCAAATTATTAATGCTAAGGCTCTTGAAGAACGTCGCTATGTCCTAGTGGAAGCATTTGAAACGCCGTTCTATGGAACAAAATTTACCAACTGAGGTACGTCAAAGGCGACAAGAAGTAGCTGGGACTTCTGCCGATAATGTTGAACCTCAACTAATTCCCCCTGGGACCAGAAAAAGGGTTGCAGAATGTCGCATAGACAGCAGGATCACACACTTTATAGCCAAAAATGTCTATGTATGACCCATGCCAAAATTATGTGTCATAATTGTGTGGAAAAAAGTCAAAACCACGTTTAATCCGATATTTTGTTATTCAAGCTTATAAACCATTTGTTTATTTTTGGTAGAATAATTTTTTTATTTAGTTTTTTGTGAAATAATATTATGTCACCTTATAATCCTGTCCCCATAAAATTAACCTTATATTTCAAACATATGAGGTTTTTTTGTTAAAAAAAATCAGTGACCTTGGTCACAATAGGATTAAGTAATAAATTAAAAGTAAAAAATTCACAAAGAAAAAATACTAGCATAAATAGGATTTTTTTAAATTTACGGGCCTGACAGGCCGGGCGCCACCACCAATGTTAAATATAAGGCGCCACTACTACAAGGTTAATCAATTTCCTAATAAAAAAATTAACAGATACCTACATAAATGAACACAAAAATAACATACACACAATTAAACAACACACCATTCTGAAATCATCAAGTTATAAAGAAATTTGGTACAATAAAATTATCAGTACTACTACAACACCTACTGATGTATTTCGTAACTTTAACCCACTTCACTCTAGCTCCTAATTTCAGTTTAAAAACCAGTGATAGCATATTTTTTCGGATACTTCGCACGTCTCACACTCACACAAATAGGTATAACAATAATAACAGATTTCTGGTAATATATTATTAACACTCTGGACAGTTGTTAAAAACACGTTACGAATTAGAATAAAGAAAGCAGAAACATAAGTTGTAGACGCTGAAGTAAGTTGAACTTTTGATGCCTACTGTCATTAAGAAATGTTTTGATTGACTGCCTGAATCAAGTGTAGCCTACACGGTGTAGGTACCTTTTCAACGAAATAAATTGTTAAACATTAACAAAATAATCTTTAACCTTTGAAATTGCTTACAAAATTGCAAATTACCTTTACAAAACTTACGGTAAAATATTTTCCTTTGTTAAAATAATTACAAACCCTGGTTTTATACAAAAAATTATGTGAAAATTTTACAAAATAAAATTAACTACAAACTCATGTTAACAAATCTGATTTTTATAACGGTTTAATAAGTATCTACTATGTTTTGATGTTTGATGTACACATTTTTGACATTTATAATATAATATATTACATCCTTACATAAACCTTTTACTTTTGAAGGAAGTACAATCATTTTTTAATTTCCTTACATTAAAAAAAACACACATTTAAGTTGTATCTACTGTCTGTGTAAAAATAAATTATTTTTGTTCTAGGGGTAAATAGTACAGTTGTAGTACAGTTAAAATTTAATATTTAATTTTGCTTGATGTGTGAAAAATAAAGGCTTTGCTTTTAATGCAATTTTTTTCAAATTTTCTAATAAAATGATATATAATATGATATAAAATATAATTTTATAAATAAGATTTATTTATATACTATTTATATTTAAAAAGCAAAGTATTTTTCTTTTTCTTTTTTTTAAGTTACGAAATTTTTGCTTTAAATTTTAATTTAATTGGAAAAATATAATATTTTATAGATTCTGGTACTATATATTTGTACTGTATATAGTATTATATACTATTAGTATACTGTTTGACAATATTAAAATATTGTTTTCTATTTAAACAGCTTTAATATATTAATATTTTATAAAGCAATTGCATTATCTTGTAGGTACTTGTGGGGAAGAAATTATATCGTACATATATGTTTTTTATGGTTTTTTGACTCCTTCTTGAATGTATATGTAAATATTCTGTAAAATTCTATATCTATATTATCCAATTTTAAAAATATTATTGTTTTATTACTAAACCAATACAATTTTTATAACATATGGTTAATTTAAAAATATATATATAATTTTTAATTAAACTTTTTTAGAATACAAATAAATTTACGTAAAAAGAATCTAATTGCCTATTTAAAATAATTTACCAATTTATAAAACTCTTTAACAATTTAAGTACTTACTTAGTAAATTTCACTTCCTAACAGTTGAGTAAATGTTCTTCTTTAATTGCTTATTAATTTTGACACATAACCTTGATTCATCAAAGAATAAAATCCAAACGTTTGGTAATCTCAAGGTTGTGGTTAATTGTTACACTCTTGTGACTTTAAATAGAGTTTTAATTTTCAAATTAATATGAAGTGGTTTACTAAAATATTGTCTTTTTAATGTTATATTTTATATTACTAGAGGAAAGTGACCAAATAGGGAATAGTACCCTAATATAGAATAAAAGATGACTAAAGTTATAAAAAGTTTTATAAAATATTTAACATTGTTGTTTTTAAAATTTCAAAAACAATACAAATGTTTTATAGGTTTAAATTATTTTTTTTAAGTCATTTTAAAAACTCTATTTTTATGAAAATTTAAATTAATCACCTTAAATTTAATTAAGTAATTGTTTTTTTCTTTTTTTATATTATTAAAAAAATACTCAAATATTTGATTAAATGCCTGGCAAGTAGTTAATATTGTAACATTTTGCAATTTAAATGTAAAACTTTCAAACTACCGTGTACCTCCTGTTAAGTATGTTATTTTGGCGGGGTTAGACAACAAATTTCCGTTAATATAAAGAAGAAGTCTTTTCCGTTTATATACACAGTCAAAGTGAAATTTAAACCTACAACAATGTTTTCAAAGGTGTGTGAACTATACCGTGATTTTTTGCGTGATTTTAAGTGATAGTAGGAAGGATAACATTTTTTTATTATTTTTTTTAGATTATCGCCATAGCCACCTTTTTGGCAGTAGCTAGAGGTGGTATTGTTGATTACGCATCTCAATCCTTGGGTGGGTCATATGGAGGAGGTCATGAGCACCATGTCGATTATTATGTATGTATTTATTGTTATATTGGGATATTGGGATCAAAAAATAAAAAAGAAAAAGACCAAGGATCCCAAATTAAAATTAAATTAAAATTTTTTTGGTTTTGCATACTTTAAATATTAATTACATGTTTATTATTGTTATTTTTTTTCTTTTCTTTTTTATTCTAATCATGTTTTTAACAAAATAAAATCGTTTTTTATTTAAAATTGCTGTCGAACAGTATAATAGTTTATCTAGACAAAAATTTGGAATTTTTAATTACTGTTACAACCATGTTATGCAAATTAATAAAAAGAAATGTGCCATAAAACAAAAATATATTAATTAGATGCGCCTTGCTTTCTATTTAATTTTCACTTTCAACAAATATTAGTAAAATGTATCAGTTTAATGTTAATATCAAAAGCATGTGCCAACATAAATATTGATTTTGTCACTAGGCTTATCCCAAATACGAATTTAAATATGGAGTCCAAGATCCGCACACAGGGGACCACAAAACCCAACACGAAGTGCGTGATGGCGATGTTGTCAAAGGTTCTTACTCCCTTGTTGAACCCGATGGTACCACCCGTACTGTCCACTACACCGCCGATGACCACAATGGTTTCAACGCAGTCGTAGAAAAATCAGGGCAAGCTTTCCACCAAGCCCCTGTATACACGAACTCGATCGTTGCTGCCGAACCCTATTATCATCACTAACAATAATTAGTTGTATTAATTTATTTTTGAGAATTATTTTTTTAATAAAAGTTGACTGAATAACCCAGTATTTTGTTATATTACTTATAATTTATAAACTTACCTATTAAAAATCCATAAGTATCCATGTAATTCAGGAAATATATATTAATAAACCGTTATTTGTTATACCAATAAACTAATTGAGAATACTAACATATCATGCAATTAATATTTAATGTGACTTTCTTCAATTAATTATTGTTTTTAGTAACTACTTTACAAAAAATACATGCAGTTGTTATAATTTTCAACTATGTTGCAAACAAGGTAAATATGTGTGTTTGTTACACAGTAAAACACGATTTTCCTCACATGAAAATTTTTAACTGATTTTAAAAACCTTGCCCGTGTCTTGCCGTTTTACGAAATCACGTCATTTATTTTTTTACACAGCCATTCTTATTAATAATATATATATATATTATAATATATATATATATATATAATATATATATATTATATATATATAATATATTATTTTAACCTAAACAGAGTTTTTATTCTTTATTTTGTTATAAATAAATTTTTTTCTTCAAATATTTTATATTTTTACATAATACAAAAATTATACTTTTTTTAAGTAAAAAAAAAGTATTTCTGATTTTAATTTTTGATTTTTTACAGATTTGTATTTATCTCATATTAAATATATGTTGAAAACAAATCTTGATCTTTTAGTTTGACGATTATAGGTACATTGCTTTCGAATCTATAGTGGTATCACAACCTAAAAACACCACTTGATATACAGGGTGCTTCACATTTGTGGTCCATTGAAAGTTTCTGGGGAACGGAAAAAATGTCGATTTGAAATTTAAAATAGTTTATAATCCATTAAGACTATTTTTTTAATATTTTGAACAAAATGCCAATTTCGGTTTGACCGGAAGTAACATCAACTTAGTTATTTCAAATAGAACACCCCATATATTTTTACATTTTTAAATTCTACATAAAATTCTGAGTAAAATTACTATACCATGTCCTATACCTAAAGTGAATAGTTTTCTATATGTTTGCTATTAGGTTTACGGACATGGGGGTAAAATGTTTGGAATCTTAAAACATTGTTTAAAAAATTTCATTAAATTTTTTAACATTTTTCAACAAATTACCCAAGAAAACCCAGGGCAAATTGGGCTAACTAGAAACGTTAATAACTTTTTTATATAAAATGTAACACGTACGGGTACCCGGTGTGTTAAGAAATGGACATGGATTCCAAAAATTCCACCTCTATTTCCGCAAACCTAATAGCAAGGAAGTTATAGGCTATTTTTGATTTACGTGCATTTGTCATATTTTAAGGGAAAAAATAAGTATTCGAAAACTATTCACTTTAGGTATAGAACATGGTACAGTAGTTTTACTCAAAATTTTATGTAGAATTTAAAAATGTAAAACTATATGGGGTGTTCTATTTAAAATAGCAAAGTGTCAAACCGGAAGTGACATTTTGTTTAAAATATTTTATAAAAATAGTCTTAATTGGATTATAAACTCTTTAAAAATTTCAAATCGATATCTTTTGCCGTTCCTCAGAAACTCTCAATGGACCATGAACGTGAAATTTTAAAATAAATATTTTTTTCTACTCCCACCTTTAAAACGTCCATTATAGTACATGTTTCCATGACACTAAGTGACCTTTTAAATACACATTGAAAAGTTGTGGCTTTATGGCGTTTTAGTCACGGGCTGAAGGTAGCAACAGGTTTTTAGTCACGGGCTGAAGTTAGCTTTAAGTTAGTTGACAGTTGTCAAATGTCATACAATCGTTAAAATAAAGTGCCCTTCTTGTAAAATAATACTAAATGTAAAAATTATTTTATTATCGCAATAAAAAATACAAAAGCATTAAATAGTTTCTCAACGCTAATATTTGAAAAGTTTATATGAACATTGTACTGACCTTTTAATTTCGCCAAAAGTAAACTGGATAGGTATAACTTAAATTCGAGCTCGGACTCCACCGTGAAGTGCTCATAAAACATTTTCAAGAAATACATTTCGATTTATAACCTTTATAAAATATAAAAATTTGACATTTGACGGTGACAGACACATTTCCCTATAGTTTCATAGATGGCGGTTTATACAAATTTTTGATTATTTTTTTTTTTGATTATTTGATTATACTATTAATGGTTGTCCATTTATTCAGTGAATACATTTTTTATAAAAATATACTGTCTAGCTGTTATCGCAGCTGTTATTATATGCCGAATACCGTGAATAACATTTTATTGCATCGCACTAAAAAAAATGACGTGATCTGAAAAAACGCCGAGACACGGGTATCATTTTTTTAAGTCTATTTTCAAATTCTATAAAAATTTTTCATGGGAGGAAAAAAATGAAATTTTGTCGTACTGTGTTATGTAAACTATGATTTATGCACTGTTTTCAAAACGATCACAATTAAGTACTTTCCTCTGTAATAAAAGTAAATTTTAAAATTATGTACCTTTCACCAAAATTATGACAAAAAGTCACTTAAATGATATTTATTGCGAATTGGTAAACTCCTAAGAATGATAAATAAAAAAATCATTCTGATGAATAAAAATGATATATTTATGGAAGAAACATTGCATGATACATAGTACTAAAATATAAGATATATACATAACAAGTAGAAAGCATTGGATAGACCATTCATCAAAATACAAAACACAGTATCATTTGGCATAGCGGTTACTTTTCCAAAGAGATTTTCGAGCAGTGATTAAATAAATAAGAAGGAAAATCTTTTGAAAAATATGTTCACAGTACAACTTACACCAAACAAGATTTTTAGGCAAAAATGTAAAAACATCGTTTGATGTAGGTAATGCAAGAAAAGTAATCAAGTAAAGTCCCTGACTGATTACAATGCTTGCAGCTGGTGGTAAAAATAAGCTTTATCCTTTAAGGTAACCTCCGTAGCCTAGAGGACCAAGACCAAGAGGTGCCCCATATCCTAATCCATGAGATATTGCAGGACCGGCCAAAACAGGACCATGTGCTATTGCAGGAGCCGCTAATACTTTAGGCGCCACCACAGTAGGATGCGATGCATGTCCAGCTCTGGTAACGACAGCGTTAAATCCGTTATGATCATCTGCGGTATACGTTACTGTTCTAACGGTACCATCAGGTTCCACCAGAGAGTAGGAACCTTTGACGACGTCACCATCTCGGACTTCTGATTGGGTCTTTTGGTCGCCAGTGTGCCCATCTGCTACTCCGTATTTAAATTCGTATTTTGGATATGCCTAAAAGTTATAAAATTGTTTAAAGCAATATTTTTGAAATTATAATTAATTATGTGTTAGAAATCACAAATAAGCCAATGCGTAACGATTTTTACCAAAGGAATTTAAATTTATTACGCATTTGACCAAGATTCACAGACTGCGAGTATAAACAGACAGACATGTTTCGCAACAAAAGTGAAAGAAGATCTTACCAATAAGGAAGAGTTGGATTACCTACCTAAGTCAAGTTCAAGAACAGACTTACTTTCCAAGGTTGATTTTTAATACAAGTGTTATACTTTTATTAGCGGTTATATTAAATTCAGGGGAGCTCGGAAAGGTTGATTTCTACACATAATTTAATGTGGAGAAACAAAATGACTAGTTACTACAGCTGCTTTTTCACTTATAAGTATAAATACAATGGTTAGTGGGGTGGCGCAAAAAAACGACTGTTCTTTTTTATTCTTACGAGAAAATATGTTAGTTTTTATGTTTTAGGAACCCTCACCAAAGATGAGCTCAAAAACTTTTTTTTTAAGGGGGGTTCAAGATTTTTTAAAACTTACAAAATCTTCAAAATTTCTCAAATTTTAGTTCAAATATTAATTTTTAAAGGTGGCTCATAATTAGAGATGTGTCGGTCAGATCTGAACCGGCTCAGTGAACCGGGTCTTATAAGTGATCTACGTGAACCGGTTCACGAAAATTAAACGAACCGGCTCACGGGTCCGAAATTACAAAGCGGCCGCGCGCAAGCCGTTCTAAGCTCCGATTTACTGCTTCACCACTCGCAGCGAGTGACTCGCTATGCATTGAACAGGCCGCGCATGGCGAGCCGCTCGAGCCGTGAGCGGCGGGTCGCGAGAGATCTGAACCGGCTCCCTGGAGCTAAGAACGACTCGCGCTCGCAGTACGTTTTGTTTTCTGTGATCCAGATCTGACCAAAACATCTCGATTCTTTAGGCGCGGCTCGATCATGACTGTTGTATCATGCAGCTCGCTAGTGCCTATGCCGGTCGCATCGTTCGGAACCGAACTTCTTGCGTTCTGTGGCGCGTTACTACGTTAGGCAAATTTATACTTTTGGTAATTTTTTACAAACCCACAGAAATATGAGATGATTTCCCTTATGACAATGTCGTTTAAAATATATTTTTAATATTAATTAATTTAAATTGTGTAAACTTACAACATTTATGTTTTAAATATAACTTTTCATGTAAAATATTAAAATAATAAAGTTTTTATTGTTTTATAAAATTTTAATAAAATAAATAGTATGTTATAACAAAACTTTAATAAAATACAATGTAATATTTAATAGCCTTTATAATATTATTAAAATAACAATTTGTATTGCCTTATAATTTAATAAAGGCTCTTAAGTATTAAAGTGATAAACATTTTTAACATAAACTTAAAGTTTATGTGCTCAGAATGATTTCATTAAGTGTTATGTTTAATTAGTTTGAGATTCAAATGGTTCTTTTGAACCGGTTCGTTGAACCGGTTCACTTATGTGATCCAGATCTAGTGATCCGGTTCAAAAGAGTGACCCGGAACGCCCATCACTACTCATAATGCCGGCTTAACATGGTATAAAATAAAGAACTAGCAATTTTGCTGCGTCGGTAAAACAAATCTGTTTTTACAAAATTTTAAAATATACAAAAAAAGAAAAAAAATAGAGAAAAAATAATCAATCGTAATATTACTTTAATTTGCAAACTATCGAAATTTAAAAAAATTATATTTTCAGTATTTTGTTTGATGTTTTTTTTTATCTCGTGATGTATTTTCATCGATTATCTTACCAATTAATGTAAAAAAATTGATTATTTATCTTATTATCTAACGCACTTAAAAATTTAAAAAAATTATGAGCGACATTAAAAAATTAATATTTTGAGCTAAAAACTTTTTTTTCGTTTAATAAATTCTACTGTAACGAGGAAAAAAGTAACAAAAAAATCTTTTACGATTTTGGAAATTTTCAAAAATCTTGGCGACCCTTAAACAATTTTTTTTGAGCTCATCTTTGATAAGATTTCTTAAAACATAAAAAAGAATCATATTTTACATAAGACTAAAAAATATAGTAGTTTTTTTGCGCCACCCGATAGGTGTAGGTTAAATTTTTTTCTTATGAATATTACCAGTAATGGGTCAAGAAAGTTTCTTAAAGAAACTAAGAAAATTAAATGATTAACCATAGCATACCATTTCACATTCTTATGTAAAATTGTCCACTGAATCCGAAAATATCGTCAAAAATTATGAAAGTAGTGTAGTTTCTGAGATATAGTCAATTTCATATTATATGGAAAATTTACTATATCTCAAAAACTGTTCTACTTTTCTAACTTTTGACGACAATTTTACATGAAAATTGACTGCTAAATGTACACATTGCTATTGTCGAGAATTATTAGTGGCTGCTTTTTAAGTTAAGTTAAGTTAACTTAAGAAGTATGTTTTTTTAGAAAATTATATAATTAATTGCAAAGAAAAGGCACTTTTTGTTTATATTTTTAAAATTTAACTAAAAACTTGACTTACAACATAATCAACGGATGGTACTGTCTTAACCACAGGAGCTATTGGTGCTTTCAAAATTGCAGGTCCAGGTAATCCATATGGGCTAAGAGCAGGTCCGTATGGTCCGTATGGTCCCAAATGACCATAAGCTGGTGCCAAAGCCGGTCCCAAAGCTGGACCTAGAGCTAGACCATGAGCTGATATTGCCGGACCTGGTAATAATCCAGCCTGAGTGGTTGCTATGAGAGTGACTATTCCTAATAACTAAAAAAAAGTAAAAAAAATATAATTAAAATTTTAATTGTCTTATTGCCAAAAAATAAATGTTTTCTATTTTTTTAATTTTATTTACTATTTTGAGCGTATCATACAGTTTGTTAATTATTATTTCATAACTAAATAAATTTGTATGTGGTACAAAAAATTTATTGTTACCTATGTGGTGTAGAAATACATTTGAATTTTGTTATTTCCTTAATATTCTTATTAATTATTAATATTTAGTGTATACATCTCGCTATCATAGCCTGTTACAGGTTAGCTTATAAACCGTTTGTAAGCGTAATTCTGTCGACTGGGAGCGTGGCGCCTTCTGTAATCCAAGCTGCTTGGAGGTCGGGTTCAGTGGATGGTTTGAGATCGGGAGTCCTGGTGCGGAGCGTTTCACGTCGACCGGATGTCCGCACTAAGCTCGGCGTCAATATGGACGTACCGGAGGAGTCCGGAACGGCCAGGTTGGCCAAGGAGAGGCGAACCGGGCCAGAGGGGAAACCCAGCAGCCAAAAGTCTCCGCGTCGTGCAGTAGTGGGATCGCGTCTGGGAGTGGGAACTTTGTAACAGCCCGATCAATACAGCTAAACCTGGACCTTTTTTTTCATTTTTTGTGTATTTAAAATCATTATTAATAGTAAATTAATTTATAAGTTTTATTAAATTTTGGATATTAACACAAAAATGTAAGATTTACATTTTGAAAAAACTTTGTCCAGGTATTGATAGATGGCGCCACCGACTTCTCATAAACTGTATACATGTATACAGCTGTTATAGTTATTATAAGATGTGTATTTAAAAAATGTTAGGTTTAACTTGTAGGTATTAACTTAATTTAAAAATAAATAGGACAAAAAAAAATAAGGAAAATTAATAAACCAAATTGCACTGTAAATATGTTAATAAATGTTAATTTATTTCTTATCAGGTATTGAAATTCCCAGTCTTATAGTAATAGTTAATGTTTTATATATTGTTTTTTGTCTTTTACCATCCAATTAATACAAACATTTAGAAAGATTAATTGTTATTAAACGTTTACTTATTAATATATATATAATTAATATATTATATATTATATATATTATTAATATATATATATATATATATATATATATATTAATAGGATTGAAAAACCTTATTATAATTTATTTGCAAGAATTTGTCTATTCATAAATTTTGCGCTAAATAAAACTGATGCTTGACATTTAGAAATAGTTATAATTCGAGTCGAAGTGGCGGCTGGTGGATTTTGGGCACACCCATATCTCAGTTATTAGACATGGGACCCACATCAAATTTATATGAGTTTATAATGATACTATATAGACAAGTTCTGTAATTCTTGAAGTTTTTTAATAAAATTTGAAATTTGTCGATAAACTTCAGTGAATTAAATATTGTACCACTTTAATTTGAATTATCTTAATTTGGGGGGCTGGAGGCTGGGGGCACACTTAAAAACTAACTTTTTTTCGCAAACTTCAATTTAAATTCTGCTTGCGCAGAACTTGTCTCAATATAAACTCATATAAATTTGATGTGGGTCCCATGTCTAATAACTAAAATATGGGTGTGCCCAAAATTCACCATCCGCCATTATTAATAATTAATAATATTATCGTACTAAATGGCCTTTTAAATACACATTGACAAGTTGTGGCTTTAAACTTTTTAGTCACGGGCTGAAGTTAGTTAACAGTTGTAACATGTCATACAATCGTTAAAATAAAGTGCCTTTCTTGTAAACTAATACTAAATGTGAAAATTATTTTATTATCTTAATATGAAAGTATTAAATAGTTTGTTGACGCCAATATTTGAAAAAAAAAAGATTTTATATACGTGTGTACTAGGGTGGCCCAAAAAAAAAGAATATATTTTTTTCTCGTCTCTAGTAAAAATATGTTAGTTTATCATGCTGTAAGAGCCCTGTCAAAATATCAGCTCAATTAAAAAATTTTTAGAGGTCGCTCAAGATTTTTAAAAATTTTTAAAATCGTCAAAAATTGAATTTTTGTTTTATTTTAATTTTTTTTCTAGTCTCGATATTATTTTTTTGGTTGAAAATAATAAAAATTCTCTAAATTTCAAATCAATATTTTGATTTCTAAAGGTCGCTAAAAGTTCGTTGATATTTATATTCAGAGGTCGCTTGAAAACATTCAAAATACTCTACTTTGAAAGTTAAAAAATCTTGAGCGACCTTTAGAAATCAAAATATCGATTTGAAATTTTCAGAATCATTATTATTTTTAAATTAAAAAATAATATCGGAACGAGAAAAAAAATCCAATTTTTGACGATTTTGGAAGTTTTTAAAAATCTTGATTGACCCCTAAAAATTTTTTAATGGAGCTGATCTTTTGACAGGGCTCTTAAAACATGACAAACCAACATATTTTCACAAGAGACGAGAAAAAATATATTCTTTTTTTTGGGCCACCCTAGTGTGTACTGACCCTTTGATTTCGCCGTAGTAGTGGTTAATTAGATTTAACTGATAAAGGGTTGAACATGCATAATTACAGTGCCCATTAAATATTCTCTTCTCTTTTACTGTGAAAAAGTGCTTCTATATATTGATTGTTAGTCTATTTTCAAGGGATAAATTTTGATTTACACAAAAAAATTTGAGATTTTAATGCCGGTAGATTTCCAAGTTAGAAATTCTAACGGGAATTCCAATAAAAACAACTGTCACTTTTTGTAACTTATAAGAATTTGTAATATTTTGTGATAATATTTTGAAATTATAGGAATAAAAAAATCAAAGGATAAAATTTGTTCTTAACATAAACATATTTTGAAGTTATTTTATCATTTTAAAGTATTAATAATTGTTAAATTAATTAAAATAATAACGGGCAATGTTAATGGTTAAAATTACGTCAAAATGTTTATTGGGATGGTTACTTTATTTTCGTATAGATGTCGCTTAATACAAATATTTAATTTAAATAGTTTTTTAGATAATATTAAGTACCTATTTGTCGTAGAATAAGATTTAAAAAAAGATTTTTTAATATTATTCTAATTTTATTTTTATATATTTAATATGAAAAAGAGTAATGTACATACATCTTTAGAATAAAAATAATAATAACTTTTTGGAAAAAAACATTAACCAAATTAACTTATTGCTACAAAATACGATTAAACCCGACAAACTTAAATAATATAAAGTAAATAGAGCCCTACCTTCGTGATCATGTTGTGCAATACTGTACAGTACTTCCAACTAAGTATGAAACTGCACTGTGCCTGTTTAGCCTGCAAGGCAGCACTTTTATACGATGGCTCAACCCTCGTGCAAAACGTTCACTGAAGACAGTCGAAAAAAATGCACCGGGAGACTTTTGTCAGCGGAAAAATCGCATCGAAAGTGCAACAACGCGCATTGGAAATTGGTAGCAAGGTCGCTATTACGTCGTTTTCAGGATCTTAACCGGCTTCAAAATACGAAACCGTACCTGAGATCGCAGGTAAACGGGGTAAGGGGTAAGGTTACTCATTGACAGACAACAGCAGGGTGTGGCCCACTGTGCAAGATAAAAATCTTAAATGCAACTTAAATTAATCTGCTACTGTGTTTAAAGGTAATGGCAAAAAGTGGCCAAAATCCATTGAGAAAAAAGATATCATTATAAAATTTTTAATAAATAATTTGTTTTTTTATATTCTATTTTTACCTATAAAATTTTAAATAGACAAGCGTCTTATCTTTAATTTATAAAAAATATATTAAAAATCTCAATAGTATTAAAATTACAGCCATTTAAACTTGAATAATGTAAAAGAAAACTGGCAATTTTGCTGAATTGTTAATGTTCTAAAAAAATTTTATTGGTAATTTTTAAATTTTATTAATAAAACTTGAAATTCTAATATTTTTTATTTAAGAACATCAATTTAGATTTTGTCAATTGTAAAAAGACATAAATTGCTTTTTTGGCGGTTCTCGGGCGATTCTAATCCAATGTGCAAAGGTACAAAGGGGCTTATTGAAATATATTTTTTTCGTCTTATTTTGACTTGTTCAATCTTTTCCTAAATTTATGCCAATAAGTTTAGGGAAAACTTGTACAACTTATTGGCATAAATTTAGGAAAAGATTGAACAAGTCAAAATAAGACGAAAACCCAAATAAATATTTTTCCTAATTACTTATGTTTCCAAGAAACAGGGTGATAAAGTGTTACATATCATATCAGTTTTTTTTAATATAACCACTACTAATATAACTTACTACCAAAACACATATTCACACATAATTATAATTGTTTTGATTAAACACAGTGTCGTAGAAACGGGGGTTACTTTAAGCTTATTGTCCCATACAAACTTTGAGGTTATGTTTTTATAACATTTGATGAAATTTTTAGAATACACAGTTCGGCTACCATTACACCTTACCTCTCAAACTTCGATTAAATAAACCGTTTCCGAGATATTCGAGATTACACTAATTGATATATCGCATTATTTAAAAGGATTAAAAAGTATATATGTATATATATGATAACAAATTTTATTTTTTAATTGAAAAAACTAAAAAGGGATTCCATGAGCCTCGGGACTTTTTGCCCTGACCGTCCATTAAAAAAATTGTAGTTTTTTAAATTAAAAAACTTGTTATCATATATCTTTTAGTCCTTTAATGCGATATAACAATTATTGTAATCTCGAATATCTCGTAAACGGTTTATTTTATCGAAGTTTGAAAGGTACACCCTTTTAATAGTAGCCGAACTGAGTAATCGAAAAATGGTATAAAAACCTAACCTTAAAGTTTGTATGGGACAATAAGCTTAAGCAACCCCTGTTTCTACGACACTGTGTTCACTTGAACAATTGAAATTATGTGTGAATATATGTTTTGGTAGTAAGTGACTGTTCGCAAAATATCACCTTTTCAAGTCTACCATAGTAGAAGTTATATTAAAAAAACTGATATGATAAGTAACACTTTATCACCCTGTATCTTTTAAACATACGTAATTAGAAAAAATATTTATCTAGATTTTCGTCTTATTTTGACTTGCTTAATCTGCTCCTAAATTTATGCCACTAAGTATAGGAACACCTTGTATATTAAGAAGTAACTAATTCTAAATTTACTGTACCAAGGCATATCTGACTTGTATGTGTATTATTCATTATTATTATTACATATTTCATTTCGTGAAACGCACCCTTAATGAGTAATAATTTTTATTATTATAATTAACATTGTCCTACAAATATGAAAATCCAATGATTTAATCGTAATTGATGTATGATAATATTACAATATTGCAAAAATCTTCCATATTTTAAAACACTGTGGGTATCATCAATGAGATGAAAACGTCGATAAACTGCGTTATTGAAAATGGTGATTTATGAAAGTATTTAGTAGTATTTAATATTAACATATTTAAATTTTTTCATTGTACCACCAGCTTATAACAATTATCATAAGTAGGATTTACTTAATTATACATTTAATGAATGTATCGCACCTTTTAATAACTATTGTTAGACGTAAGTTTAAAAAGCC